CGCGCTCTATAGATTTACCATTGCTAGTGTAGAGATTTCCTCTCTCTCTCTTTCCTGTCTGTCTTCTGGTCAGTTACCGGAGGTGGATGTATTAGCTTACCTGCTAATGGACCCTGGTCACATAAGCGGGTGCAGAGGGCCTCTTCCGGGCATAACAGGCTGGAATATCTAGGCCTATATGTAGCAGGATCTTCTGTGTGTGTTGCATGTAGGCCAGCATATGGGTGGTAGTGGCAAGGAAGCCTGCAGGCTTTTCGTAGAGGACAGCGGATCCCCCCCCCACCCCCCCACCAGGATGTTGGATATGCTGACAGGACTCGACCCGGCTGCCCGCGGTGCCCAGCTAGTGTATTAGAATTTGGACGCCCCTGCTTCCTGTGCAGTGCTGAGTCCTAGAAAGAAGCACTACTGAACACTATCAGGTTCCCACAGGGCCGAGGCAGCAGCAGAGATGTTGGGCTGCCTCAGCCCTTCGTGTTAGTCTGTGTGTTAGTGTCTGAGGAGCCTTCTGTCGGCCTCATTGGGTAAGTTTGCCAACCTGGAAAATCAACTCCTGTAAATCAACTAAAATGCCCTTCTTTGTGTTACGGGCCGTCCTCCCCTAGCTGGAAAACCAGCTGTTTCCGTGTTTGCTGGATTGATTTCGCGTGTTTTATTTGGCTGTGTGTATGTTTATGTGGTTGCCTGTTCATTTGTGTTTTTCAAAGCTTTTGGGGGATGCCTTTTGGTAACCCTGAAAAAATGACACTGAGGGAGTGTCGTGGCGCGTAAAATGGTGTCTTCCAAAAATGAGTTCATGTGCTTTTAAATTTTGGTGGTGCAGAGGTCTGATTTCTGCTCTGAAGTGCATTTCTGTTTTTTGTGAGGAGTGAGGGAGAAAGGGAAAGCAGTGCAGCACTGCGTGGGAGAGCCCCTGGCTGGAGATGACCCAGAGCCAGGCCGGAAGGCCCAATGATTAGCAGCTCTTTGTTAGCACTGCATTGAACTCAGGTTGGCTCTGAGTGGAGTCGGCACCATGACGCTCCCTGCCACGCTCTCAAATGCTCTCCTGTCAAAGGCTGAATGCTGCGTGCACTCGCCGTTCCTCACTCTAGTTTACAGAATAGCAGCACGTCTGAATTACGCAGCCGTAACGGCGCGATTTTCTTACATCTGGTTACAGATTTACTGTAATGAAAGTAATAATGAAAACTGATGAAGAAGGAAAACAAGGGAAAGCTGTGTGCCGTGTGTGTGTGCGAAAGGTCAGGTTACTAATCTGCCGTTCCGAGGGATTTTGTTTTCAGTAGAATGCTTGATAGACCCTTGCATAGCGCCGCCGTATCGGTTATTGCCTGGTGCTCTGTTAGCTACGTCCCAGGCCTTTGCGGCGTGCCTTATAATAACCAAGCAGACATGGTTGCTAAGGAGGCACTCAATTCAGACACACACAAGTTTTTACAGCCACCATCTGACCTCAAACCTGTGTTGAATGGATATGTAATGAGAGTGTGTCTGAATGGGATAATAACTATTAACAAACTCTGTGAAATTACCCCAGTTACAAGTGGTGCAACAGTCAGTTTTGAAAACTGGTGGGACCAGGTGATTTATGCAAGGTGTTGTATTGGGTATGCCAGGCTGACACACAAGTTTTTACTTAGGTGAAGATGTCCTGCATGTAACGTTCCTTTGACGATTAAGCACGTTTTGTTGTTTTGTCCTTCTTTTAAGTCCCTTTGACGTATTAATCACTTTTCTGGCTCTTCGGGGCTTTTAGTGACGTCTAACCGGAGGCTTTTTTTAGATTTTTAAATGAAAAATAACCTTAAACATCTTATTTAGATTGTTTTGACTGTTTCTAACAATTTATAATTATTTATGACTTTTTAACCTTTTTCATCTGTTCACTCTCTGTTTAGGGCTGCTGCGATCAGTGAAATAGTCGATGACATCAACACTAAATTCATTGACATCAATATTTTAAATCGATATTACCTTTTTGATTTCTAAAATGCTTCATTACATTGTAACAAATGTTTTCTTTCAATAACTGCAATATCGCTTCAATAGGGCTTTTATACGTTTCCAGGGTGTGTGTTCATGTGCGCGTTCATGTGCGCTAGGCTTGTTGGGACCAGTGTTCTCAAACTAAAACTGAAATAAAAATTGACTCATGAACTGAAATAAATCTAAAAACTATATTTACCATATTTAACGGACGTTAAACTGCAACAAGTACCGCCATACCACCACTGTCGTTTCACCTTGTATAATCAGTTGATAGAAAAATAGTCCTTTTCAGCAGCCCTAGATCTTTTTACTGTCCGTTTACTCACCATGAATAATAGCCCTGGTTGCTGGCATTGCATTAAAAGCCAATTTAACTATTAGCTGCGGAGCTCTTTTGTTTTGGTGCCCCACTTTACAGGTGACTCCTGGGTAATATCTGAGGCTGCTGCATATGGCCCACTGCTGAAGAGCCGCCCGCTCACTCCGGGCACCATCAAAGCATGAGAAGGGCTCTGCTTTCACACTGATGGCACCGGTTCCACCATCTCAAGCAGACCTCCTGCTCTTCACACTCAATGGACTCGTCACAAATTTCCAGAACGCCCCACGTAAATCATGGGCATTTGGGAACCGAAGCGCAGATGTTATTACGCCGCAAGTTTGATATTTTGGTAGTGGGCACGATGCTCACCAGAGTGGAATGTGTAGCTTGCCAGACCAGTGGGTAGGAACAAGAGCGACTGCAGCCCCTTCCCCCACAGCAAGGGCAGGGCCTTCAGTCCTGGTGCCCTTGGCACAGGGTACCTAAACAGCACACTGATCCGGGTGAATTGCAGTAGGAGGATAAGGCCATCGCTACCCCCGTCTGCCTTGATGCGCATGTGTCCGTTGACGGACGTCAGAAGGTAGAGGCCCAGCCAGGGTTTGTTCCAGTTGACCCAAAATGCTCCCTCTACGAGAACCTGGCTGACTCTCGTGTGTCTGGCACATATCACTTCTGTTTTGGTCTGAAGTAAAATCACACATGAGGAGAGCGATAATCTCACGCTGAGTGAATATGGGCTTTTCATTGGTAAGACCAGTTGTCATGGTTTCAAGTGCTTGGAGTATCCCTCCAGTGATTGCTGGAGATGAGAGGTTTGATTAGCAGGCTTGGTGGTGTGTGATGGGAGGTCACGCTCATTTTCATTTAACTGCCCTGCCTTCTGCTGACATCTCGGCCCACCAGCAGGAGCACCAGTGGACATGTGGCCTTCGGGGGCACTGACCTATGGGCCCGTATTTGTGCCCAAGCTCCCCAGCTGGAGCACATGGTGACGAGGGCCAGCAGGTGCCAGCGTGGTGCTAGTGTGAGGCTTTCTGCTCAGTTGGTTGACCCCCCCAGTATCCTGAGCAGGGACTGGGGGTGTTTGCTAAATGCGTAGTTTATTTTTGTGGGCCTGGTCAGACATCGGGATGGATGACTGCTCCCCATTAACAGGGCTGTGACCTGCGGAGTCGCCCGCCTTGTGCTCAGTGAGCTGGCGGCGCCAACGCGAACCAGCCCCGTGCTGCCATGGCACCATACCAACCAGATCAGCAGAGACGCCAAACTTGGCACCATATCTGGGGAGCTAAAATGTTTCTCTGTGACCAGTGACCAAGAATAAACGTGCAGCTTGTTATGGTTTCCTTCGGAACACCGGAGCGCAACCCGTATTGTGGCGGTGATGTGGCGGAGAAGCGTTTATCTGGAGAGGAGTGTTTGTCACTGTCCATCCGCTGTCTCTCGGACGTTACGTGTCCTGTGTGCAGTAGAGGCCTTGGCTGTCGGGACTCATTTAGCCATGTTCACACTCATGGTGTAATTCAGGAATCATTCATTGGTTCTTTTCCTGATGCCTTAGCCTATGTACGTATGATATTTGCATTTGCATTTTTTTAGTAAGTTTATTTTAATGTCTAAGGTGTTTATTGTTATAGACATTAAATGGCATGTTTTTGTTAGGTTTAGTGTTTTTGAGAATTCAAGACTGGTTTTATATGGCTGCTTTATAGTGGAACATTTTTTTTAATTGCTACGTTACAGGGATTTTTGTTGTCCAACAGGCTGGCAGTTTATTGTGCCTTGTTTACTATTTTGAATCAAGCTCTTCTGGGCCAGTTGTTTGTGTTTTACTCACCATTTTGTTTGGTCTTCGATAGGTGTGCTGTTCCCACAGTAGCCTTGCGTGTCTATCTTCTCGGAACGCTATACATCACGTTTCGGTCATGGTCATACCCCCTGTGTGCCGAGCAGGGTTGTGTTGAGTAGAGAGTTAAAGGGTCCTGGAACCCTGAAAGAGAATCACTGATTAAAGCTTGACTCTATTAATGTATTAATGGATACCGCCTTTTTAGAAGGAAGAGCAGATGTGAAGCTGCTCTACACATGTTTTCTATGTTCAGACACATTGTTGAGGGCAGAAGGAATGGTGTCTGTGTGTTTGGTGATATATATAATTTTTTTACTTTCAATTAAATCACAATCTAATTCTAAAGAAGCTGCTTCACATGGCTTTTCCTTGTGCTGTGTCCAAGATCTTCTGGGTAATGCACAGGTATTTAGGGCAGCCATGTAAGGGTTAACCTCAGGCCGGATGGCAGGTGTGTGTAGGGCCACAGGCCGGGGCCATCCCCGCTGGCCCGGGGCCCGCTGAGCCGCGCGGAGCTTGTTTATGCTGTCAGCTGGCGTGTCTCTTCTCGGGGGCAGCGCATCGCTGTGTGACGCAGCACCGGCTTATAATTTGCCCCCGCCCCTTCCCCCCGTGGGGCGGGGTACCTGGAGTCTCACTGACAGGAGATGGGAATGAGGCCAGGAGCCTGGCGGTGCGGTCTGGCTCGCTCACTGGGGGCTCCAGGCGGGAGGCGACGCCGCGATAACCGACGTGTGACGTGACGGCACAGGAAAGAGGCCAGGCCGCGCGTGTGTCTGTGAGTGTGTGTGCGCGTGCCCGCACAGGCGTGCGCGCTCTGGTGCGTGGTGCTCAGCTGCGGAGGGAAAAGCAAAGGAGGACTAGCAGCAGCAGCAGCAGCTCGCAGCCGCCCCGCAGCCTTGGAGCGGCCCGGCACCAGACGTGCATGCCGGCTCTCAGCTTCCACAGCACGCCACTCATGTACTCTGAGGCCTATGGCTGCCTGTCAGCACGTCAGTCCAAGGTGGCCTGCACCTGCTGGCCCTTTCTGCTCAAAGGTAGGAGCGTGTTCTCTGCCTAAAGCCGCACGGCCGCCAGGCTCGAAGGGACGGTCGTGTTCTTTAAATCCGTAAGCGTGTTTTTTTTATTAGGGCTGAGAAGTAGGGCAGTGTTCTTGTGATCGCGGCAGCTCTGCTTTCCCAGGGCTGGGTACTGGGGGCGCGCTGCCTGTCTCCGTGTGCTTTCTTAGGATCGAGAGGCATCCTGTGTTTTTCATGAAGGTTGCGCAGTGGAGATACCGTTTCATGTCTCCCCGCTGACGTCTCCACGAGCCTCTCATAGGCAGCTCGACTCCTCCACTATAATCAGGGTCGTTTTTTCAGCTGCATGCTCGGTGGGTGTGGCTGGCTACGCACTAATTGTACCAGCAGGCTGCTGCTTCGATGTGGTCCGGCCGGGCGCCCTTTACAAGGCTGGGGGGAGCAGAGGCCCTCCTTTCTCAGAGAATTCTGTCCGCAGTTCACAGCATACGCCTCGTACGACGGAAGGTTCTCAGAAGCTCACGCGCCACAGGTCGGACACGACCCAGTAAAATCACTGTTCAGTGGGGCTTGAGCAGGTACCGGCCTGGCTAACTCCTGCTCAGTCGGCACAAAGCCTGCAGGAGCCCATTGGTGTCACCTGAGGGCTGGCGTTTCTGTTTTTTGGTGAGAACTTCTAGGGATGGACGTGCTATTTTTAGGCCGGTTTAAATAGCACTCGATCAGACTGCGGCACGTCCCCAAATTATTTTTAAGGTTTCACAATAACACAAGCGGGCCACAACATATATGTTTATCTTGGATGATATTTGAACTAGCTAGAATATGATGCTTTTTTTTCCCCAGTGCGGTTAATTTATGCTGTTTCAGTCATAAATGTGAGGTGGTATTTTTGCCTCTGTGTCATTGTGCCAGGCCTTACAGCTGTTAAATCCGAACAGCGTTTACCGTTCTGTTACAGAAGTGGCATCTGAGTGTAAAACCACAGTCACAGCGGATCCTTCACTTAATTACCTCGGGCTCGCTCTGCAGCAGGGTTAATTCACGTGTGGCATGTTGCCGTCACGAGTCGCCACACGGGAATATCATATGAAGGAGATAAAAATCCAGTCCCTATTAACTTTACAAACAGGCCGTATCTCTCGTCCAATCCAAACGAGTTAAATGAATGTAATGACCGTGTTCCTGACTGCCTCCGTGTTTGAGTCCTTCCCCCGGGAGCCAAGCGGATGGGCCTCGTCCGCTCCTGACGGCAGCGCCCACATTCCAAACGGTGGCAATGGGGCTTGCCGGTCTGCACCAGAGTGGGTCGGGGGTCCCCGTGAGAAACGTGCTCCTTTCAGCCAGCATGTAACAGCCTCTGCTCTCTCCTCCGCTCACATGATGATAATAAAGTGTGTCTCGCACAGGGAGGCAACACGTCACACCTGGCCAGATATCTGTCGGACAAACATCTCAACATTTTCAAGGAATTCAAAGACAGACAAGTGATAGTTGGCTAGTTCACTGCCCTGTTGTGACCATAAAAGAAGTGAGAGTGATTGACATTCTCGGCAGCAGTGATGTACGGGGATGCGCGGCTCCATTTCACGAGTAGTCCACACTCGCCGATTATATAAACCTGATAGTGATTCGTACCGCTAATATTAATAAAGAGAAAATGAAGCTCGACCTGCTTTTTTGATAGCTTATTATGCTTAAGTTTTATTTTAACTGACCCACCCACAAATGACCCGAATATGATGAAAAACTTGAAATAAAGCACAATAATCAGATTTGAAAGTTTCCACCTTTTTAGGAACAATATAGAAAATTGTTGAAATAGAAATTCGTAACTTAATATCAATATGGAAAAAATATGGTATTGTGACAACACTAGTTTAGGTCATGTTAGTTATGGTCACCTTTGTTCATTGTAAAGTACACAAGATGCAGAAAGACCTTTTTCCATGAAATATTATTTAATTTTGACTAGGGCTCCATGATATCACATCGCGATACAATTGTGATTGTATGGTGCGTGCGCAATAATCATCATAGCTTTAGGTGACAGATAAACATTTGTTTACAGACAGTAAACATTTGTCTGGATGCCAGTAGTATACAGAAGTTTATACTACCGGCCCACAATTTAGTAAGCAGATTAGCAGTATGCTTAAAATATTAATAAGCGGCATATTGTTATACCAAAAGTTAGTAATCTGTATAAATTTGGCATATCCTTATGTTTATTAAATTCGATTAGAGGAGCAAGTCACATCCTACTGTTTTGGTAAATCGTGGAAGCGATAAGCGCTGGAATGGCAACGAGGAAAGGGATAGCTCAGCAACCACATCATCTTGTAAAAAAGGAGATATTGTGGATAAATTTATGCAGATTATTGACTTTTGGGTGTTAGGATACATTTCCCATTAGATTTTAAGCATACTACTTATCTGCGTACCAGATTGTGGGTATAAGTAAACGTCTGTAGAGTACGGAAAAGCCGACGTCCAGGCATGCTTACACCAGTCATCTAAAGCCCTAGTGATTATTGCGCACGCGGCATTTAATCTCGATGTGATATCATGCAGCCGTTCATTTAAGATTGCTATTTGTTCTGTTTGAGCTGGCTGGTCATTTGATGGAGTCCTGCGTAGTAGCATGCAGCGCATGGATGCTGGGCACTTTCCAGAGACATGCTGAAGCTCTCCGAGGGTTTGCCCATTCGGTGGTGAGGCGGGACAAAAACACGGGCTCTGTAGTGAAATGCGTGCTTAGCTGCACCACGCTTGTCGGTTTCATTCATTCACTTGCACTCGATTTATAATGGAGTAGTGAAGTCACCTGACCCTGCCGGATGCATCTATAATTCATATCTTCTGGGTCTGTGGCCCAGTGTATCATAACTTCCTTTTTGCATTCAGTTACATTTCAATCAATAATCGACTGCACTTATGGCCTTCCGCTAATGTCTCTCCTGGATTCCCATTGGCAGCAGTATTTATAGCCGGTGTTATTGCATGTCTGTTTCCTGCTTAGCAGAGGGGTAAAAACAGGCTGTTGAGAAGGGGGTCCTTAGTGTGTGCTGTGATGTACCCTGACCCCCTTGCTTGCCTTGTGCATCACGCTTGACAGCAAGCCCCCATAGCTCTTCAAATAGTCACATGAATATTTGCACAATAATACTGTGTTTATTACTGCGTCGTGTGGGTGAGCTTTCTCTATGAATGAGCTCTGTTGTCATGCTTTCCTTGCTTCTGCCATGATAGATTTCCCCTCCCTCGCTGCCTCTCCCTCATCGGTCTGCTTGACTAACGTTCTGCCTGCTGTCTCCTTGTTGTTCGAGCAGAATATGACCGACACCTAGCACCCAGCAAAGGCATGGCAGCAGCGTACCTGGACCCCAACCTGAACCACGCCCTTGCCTCGGGGGCCAAGTGTCGCCTCAGCATGGGCACGGAGCGTTCCCCCGGTGCCCCAGATCGCGTGCTCAAGGTCTTCCACTACTTCGAGAGCAACAATGAGCCCAGCACCTGGGCCAGCAATATCCGCCACGGGGACGCCACGGACGTCAGGGTGAGTGCAGGCAGGGTCACCAAAGGTCACGCCGGCAGCCGCGTATGGGGGGGTAGCCACTTCCTCCCTGGTGCTCACCTGCTGTTGGGAGGGCTGAATAATTGAATGTGTGGAGTCGGCAGGCTCGCGTTGTTGACACTAATCTGAAAGCACCATGAGGAATCTATCAATTTTGCTTTCTCTCATCAGAGTTGAGATTTTAGTGCTTGTTTGGTCTGTCAATACCCATGTGTGTAGGAGGGTTGCCAGTTTGAACTCCCAGACTGGCTTTGCAGATCATACCCACAGCTGCAGAACAGAGACATTCACCTGAGCAGCTTTTATTTTCCCAGCCTAGACCGCGCGGATTTCGTGCCGTTGTAAGAATCTGTGATTCTACTGAGGGCCCCTTTGTAATGATAAAGCCAGGAAACAAAGTGTGGTGCTGAATTCTGGCAGATGACTCTGTCTTCCCCAGTGATTAAGTTGTATCTGTTTCAACATGCCGCCATGATGCGGTTTGTTCTCCCAGCAGTGATTCTTTTTAAACTACAGAAGAGTCTCGTCTGTTTCTCAGCACACGGCAGCATTGATGTTTGTTAATAAGAACAGGCTTTAGTCTGTCCTCCGCTCCAGCGTAAGATGGCGATTAAGCAGAGGACAGATGCTGTGGCTTTGCTGGTGAACCTCCTCCGATGGCAGAGGAGATGCCATTCAGAGGTTCTGGAAAGATGCTCCTGTCACCTGCCTGTGGGCTTGAGGCTGCCTTTCGCTGTGCTGTAATCTCTCTGTCCCCATGGCTCTGAGATCCCCCGTCTCTTTCTCCCTGGGAGACCCGGTGGCTCTCACAGGCTTTAGTAATAATTGCTGCTTTCGAGTGCTGTCAAGTTTCCGACCGTGACCGTTGCATCGCCAGTCAGTTTCGTATTTGACAAAAATCATTAAGAGGGGCATTAGATGTTAGTGAAATGCCAGAGGTCTCGGTGCCCATATCCTCCATCAGAGGGGGGGCTGTGTGCTGTGGGCGTCCCAGCAGGCAATGCGGTGATTGAATGTGTTTATGCTGGGCCATTTTGCACACGTAAGCCACAAAGGCAAGGGGAATCCATCATTCAAGCTGCGCCTCTCAGTGATAGTTCTGTTATCTGGCTTTGTGGAAGATGCAGTCTTCACCATGTATAATGGAGTGTAGAAGGTAATTAGTACTGGCAAGTTAATGGTTTTGTTTTTAATGTTGCATGGCTGTAAATGAGTTTAGTTCTTTACTGCACGATGGACTCTATAATTCATGTATTGACTTGTGAAACCTCTTTCTGTGTGTGGAAAGACATGCTGAATAAAGGTTCGCGTTCTCTGTCTCCAGTCAGCTGTGGAAATGTGCAGATGCATAGCCTGCAGTCAGTGGCCTCTGACTGTGCTTCCAGTCTCTAGTTCCCCGGAGCTGAATGCCAGGGCTGCGCAATATATCTTTTCAGCGTCGCCATCGCGTTGTGCGCATGCGCAATGATCACATCGCAGGGCGTGCGATAAGCAAGGCAAATTAAATAAAACACATCATGCTATGCCTTTTTTGCAGTTTGATACAAAAGGAAAACTCACATAGTTCTAATTTTCCGTAACTAATCCACAAGTGATGTTTGTCTGATATAATTTATTCCCGATGTGAGGGTATTTGGATACATGGAGTTTGTTGCTAGTAAGTGACATGCAGGCTCTGCATGTGCAGCAAACCACCAGTCACAATTAGGGCTGGGTAACCTGGAATAGTAATGTGGACATTCTCACATTGCGATAGTTAGTTTACAATGTCCAGACGTTATACTGCAGTATACTTCATTTTCAAAATCAACGTTGTTTTGCAATACACTTGCAGTATTTTGATTCTTTGGTGATAAGATTTGCCAAGATTATCTATCATATGTTTAGAAATCAGTTTAAAGTTTACCACCACTTCTTTTGCATGAGTTCTGCATGTGTTCTCCAAGCCGCTCATAATATTTTCAACCTTGCTGTTTAAATCGCTTGTAGAAATATGAAAGATTTGTTTTGAACTCTTATGAACTATTATAAATATCACTATATCACAAGAAAAATCACATCGCAATATTTGAAATTTTCCAATATCATGCAGCCCTGTCATATGCTATATCCAGTGAGTGAAACCATATGACAACGATGGGACTTTAGTATGAACTAAGAACTCACTTCCCATCCCACACACCTAAAACGGTCTAGCACCTTTGTTCATATAGGCTTTCCATGAACATGAGCTTGAACATTTGGCCAGAATATTTTTTTACTGAATGTTAGTTTTAATGTGGGTAGGGATGCACTGCTTTTTCTTGCAAGTAATTTGTTTGTATTCCTGAATGGGTCCATCAGTATTTGTTTAACTGCATCGTGCAAATTGCATATATCTAGAAAGCACTGTGAAAATTCGGATATCTTAATGAGAGAGCCCAATCTCTGGGTCATTTTTACATTAAAAAATATTATTAGATTCAGTTAAACAGCATTTTTTTCCCACAGTAATGGTAACAGTTTGATAAGCATGTTTGGAAAGCTGAAGTGACATGCTAGGCCAAACAGTGGATGCGGATATGGAAGGCAAGAAATAAAGCCTCGTGGATGAGATCACCCGTCCCAGCCGGCTTTGCTTTACCAACATCTTTAATCACATGCACATATAAGAATTCCTCTTCCATACACCGTGACCCTCGTGTGCAAACATTACTCAGCCATTGTTTTGACTGAAAGCCACAAGTGCTTTGTTAAATTCATTTACATTTTTTTTTTCAGAAACCCAACTGACTTTCCAGAATTGTAACTAATTATCAGGTTGATGGACAGATTCAGACTCTGCCATTTACCTAAGGTTAGCGAAGTCACTGGGCTAACGATTAACCTTGGAGCCTACATGTGTGAATCACCTGACTAAAGAGTCTGGACTGAGACCTTGGATATTTTATTAGACATGCTCACATAAATTTATTGTAGACTAAATTAAACTAAGCATGGAAACTAGGAAGTTAATTAGGTTGCTTACCTCTCAGGCAGATTCAGGGATGGCAGTGAATCTTCCTGCAGCCAGTGACTGGTGGCCTCGTCGTTATGGGGAAGGGCTTACATCATGCAAACATTCTATTTGTAAAGCCCCTTCTATGTGTACGGACGTGTTGTGGCCAGTTCCTGTCTTTCTGGACAGTTATGATATTCAGAAACATACAAGGTGGCCAACAGCTGAATTTTATTTCTCAGTAAAAATAAGGTGAATGAGGGTGAGAGAAAGCAAATGCCCTGCTGTTTACAGTGAATGTCCACATTACTCTTGGTCACCTGACACACAAGGCTTCAATAAATAGTGAGAACCATCATGTCTTGGCTGCTGAGAGCACCAGCCTCCTGAGCCACCATCTACCAGTCAGCTCCTCCATCTTAGGGGTGTCCCTATGCGGGAGGCCGCTGTTCAGAGATGCATGCTGCGGCATCCCCCCCCCCCCCCCCCTGCCTGCATGGCTGCTGTTCTGTGCCCCTCTAACTCCATGGCTCTCCTGTACGCTCGGGGCAGATCCTGCTCGCGCCGCTGTGAAATTGTGCCCGTTCATAAATGCCCAAAGACATGCGAGGATGGACATATCTCGAATGGATGGGCGGTCAACCCTGAAACCCGAGTTTACTTATCCCCCACGAGTGGTACCATTACAGATAATGACAGCAGTTTTATTTGAGAGCGTGTGGTTCTGCGAGATGGGCTTTTAAAAGCCGCTGTGCGCGGAGCCCGCCAGCCCGCCTTCTCCATCCTCACTGAGCACTCGGCACGGCTTGCCCAGCTTTTACTGGAAGGGAATAGATTTTTCTTCCACTCACCGGCTCCCCAAAGACACTAGGAAGCGTCTGCAGCACCACCCACACGTCAGGGGCACCACCTCTCTCTTCCCCGGTGTTGGGTTACCCCAGCGTGAGCCTCACAAATGAGGCTATAGCTCGAGGAGGCCTTACCTCCTACACACCATCTCGCCATGGTAACTTGATACCGTACATCATATTTACTGAAAGGCCTTACTGTGTGATTCATTGTTCACCATCCAGATGTCTGTCCCACTAATGGAGAAAGGTTTTTTATTTTATTACCTGAGTTGCAGCCAGACTGATATTCTTTTACTACAGAATGTTGCTTTTGTTATATATATTAAAATATCCAATTTGCAGATGTTCTCTTTGCCAATTATCGTTGTTATTGATAGTCTTAGTCTAACTGTTGATAACTATCGCTTTATGGGCATTCAAGAACAATGTTTAGTGTAGTCTTTGAAGCAAAATTTGAATTTCTTTTCCTGGCTGGACGCTATAAATCTTTTGTGACAGGTGGCCTCCAGCAGACATAGCTGTTGAACTTTAATAAGCTACCCCCATAAATACCCACAAGACCTGGAATTACGTAGACAGGCATAGTGTTTACATTTCTGCTTGACTCATCTAGAGATGTTTTCCCTTTGTGATGCGATTCATTTGCATTTGCTAATCTTGAAAACATGTATTAAATACCCATTTTCCTAGAAGTGACTATTTCACAACACACACCTGTGCACAGTTTATATTTTCGGGAGTCTGTCAAACGGTAGGCTTGACCTAGAACAGATCTACCTTCTTGGCTCAGCCTCTGGACAGGGCACAGATTCAACAAGGCGCCCCATCAAAGATCAGCCTGTCTGGATCATCCTCACCCAGGCTGGCAGCTCCTCGGCAATCTCTTATGGAGCTCGGTGCTCCTCCATGTGCCCGGCTCTCACATTTAATGGGAAACTAGGACATCCCACCACCCTTAGGGCCCCCATCCATTATTATTCAGTGGCTGGGGTCGGGCTGCAGCCTGGCATCAGTGTCGGGGTTTTTTGTTGGGTCATCGTCGAGCTGTCCCTCATGCCAGAGTGTGTCGTCTCCAGATAAACAGGGAGTTTCACTGCTTGATTGGAAATGGTTACGTCGTCTGTCACTTGTAGCCGCTGCCCTAGAAAGAGTTCCAGGCTCTGCAGTAGTGATTTAGGACTGTGGGCTGCACCGTGATGTGCACATTCTGCTGTGTTTTCTGGCGTGAAAAAGAGCTTGGAGTGATGGGATGGGGAGGGGGGAGTGACACGGCTGTGCCAGAGAGGCCAAAGGGGCACTGGGTGAGCTGGGAACTGCTCCCCAGGCTACCCTGCCTCCATAAAGCATCAGTCCTGGGAGATAAGCGCTCGGCTTGCAGTGAATGGTTGAACTAGATACACCGCCGATTGCATGGGGCTGCCCGTAGTGACACTGTCCCTGTAATCCCATCAAAAGGGCCATGTCCTCCCACGCCGCAGCGTAGCGCTTACAGCCGCTCTCCCATTGGCCAGGCGCACAGCTGCTCCTCGGCTCTAAATCGGTTTGCAGAGTGACCTCTGGTCCCCTTGCCGGCGTGAGTATCCCATCCACCAACCCGCGGCTGTGTTTTTCCTCCCCCGCAGGGTATCATCCAGAAGATCGTGGACATCCACAAGGTGAAGTGCGTGTCCTGCTTCGGCCTGCGCCTCAGTCACCTGCAGTCGGGGGAGGTGCACTGGCTCCACCCAGACATGGGCGTGTCTCACGTGAGGGAGAAGTATGAACTCAAGCACCCGCAGGAGGAGTGGAGGTAAGACGGCCCGGCTTCTGTTTCAGGCATAGGTCAGACTTCCAGGCTGCTGTGGTTTCCCTGCCCAAGGCAACCGCAATGGCTGTAACATGAACCTATGAACAGGCCGGACTGGCTTCCTGCCGCTGATGGTTTCCTGTAGCCGAGATGGCCGGCATCCTGTCGTCCTCTGCTTTTGTTCCAATGTGTCTGCACCGTGTCTGGAGCATAGCAGCATCCGGCCCCCTGTCGACCGGAGCTAAATTCTGTCTTTGTTGTCATGGAGATGCATGCAGCGGTCCGGGCTGCCGCAGCAGAGTGTGGCATTCTGGGACTGACGAGTCTGCATGTGCTCTTTATGTCTTGGAGGCTGGATGTAACTCTCAACATGGATACACTCTGCGTGGAATAAAACCCTCTGCCGTCATTGTCTTACTGCCGAGGTCTTCGCAGATATTATAGTGTGAAGCAGAACTTTAGCATCGTGCTTGTGTTGGTTTTCTGGAGCCAATCAGGGTAAGATTTTTACAGCATCAGAGGCCCCTTGTATGGCTTGAACATGCAACCATCATTACAAGCTCAGATTCTGACAGCTGGCCTTACATGGTAAAGAGCATTTAAATACCAGGGCAGCATGTACCTGTGTGTTCTCGGTTATGATGGTATTTGCTAGGTGCAGGTGTTTGTCTTTTCCCCCCAAGTCAACTTTTGGAATGGTGGCTTATAGAAATGTTTGCAAATGGATTATCAAAGTTGTTAGCGTGTGTCTGCGCACACACAGCGCGTTCATTGGATTCAACGATAGTTAGTTTCTCCGGATCCAGAGTGGTACGATGCTGACCTTGGCCTCACCTCTATGACTCTTGGCAGGATGGTTGCACGCCGTTACAGGTCGGACCCTCTGTCTTACCCCAGAGCTTGTAGCGCACAACTAATTACACAAATCCCAGCATTCATTCAAAGGGACACTCTGTCTAGGAATGTTTTTCCAAAGCAGATTATTCAAGTGCTCTTCTGGGGAGCAGTGATCATGGAAAGGATTGTCCCATTGACTGTTGAGTTGTATTACAATGGTTCACCCAAATACTTGTTCTTGTCTCTTCCTGCACGCATACAGACTAGTTATATCTCTGGCATCTGGGTCCTTGCCATAAACCGTGATAGGATTAGGGCTACGATGCTCTGAATCATTTTATATTGAGATGAATTAAGCATAATGTAACGTGAGATATTATGGAAGTTTATTGAAAGCAGCTGCCTGAAGCTTGTGCAGCTTGATTTATTTTCTTGTTCTCGTCTTAATTGTATCAGCAGTTGGACCTCCGGGTTGCACACTCCGATTAGGAATGCAATACGCTTGTGCTGCACAGCTGTTTTAGAATGCGTGGATGTACAGCTGTACTGACCGTGACTCGGTGGAAGTTCAGGCCTGTTCCTTCTTCCTGTTCCTGTTTAAAGGGTAGTGGCTCTCCTTTGGAAGGGAGGCCGATGCTAAAGCACGCAGCTTCTCTGTTTAGCGTTAGCATTCTTCGCCCCTCGCTGCCGTTGCTTTAGGGACTCCTGAGCCTGCTTGGAATTGCAGGCATGATGGAACGAGCAGTCGCTCTCGTCTTTCAGCTTTCCCGCAGGTTGGGCCAGTCTGAACTGTCGCGCCATCCGTCACTGTCCATTCGCGGTCAGCCTGAAATCCATTCTTTGATTGTATCTGCAGTCTTACAGCTGTGGATTGAGCGACGGCGTTTCGTTAATGTCCTGCCTCTGGTCCACGTCTTCACCTTGTGGTACACTTTCAGGTTTTCCTGAAGCTTCCTTGTAAGGACAGTGCAGGAGATGTAGTCAGACCAGGGGAATGTGGGATTTTGTGAGGAATTCAGACATAGGCAATCTTTCAGCACCTCAGCCCACCAAACCTGCACTGATGTCAGGTGCATTATGTCATTCCTGTCTTCACCCAGACAGATGTTGGCATGAAGAATTGTTATTCTTATATGATATACGTTCCTTGTGGTTCCTGTTTAAGGCTCTGTTTACCTGCTCCTATTTTTGGAGGGAGGAGATGAGCCTCGCCGAGAGAGGAGATACAAGGCAAGGGTGGCTTCCCTTGAGGATCGAATGTATTAACGCCCCCCCCTCCCCCCAGATTTTGTCCCTTCAGCTGCTATGCTTGGGAGCCAGGAGAGGGCATCACACTGGGTAATTACTTCCCAGGGGAAGCTGGTCCTTTTCCCAGGGGAGAAGAGTGCTGAAATCCTTTGTGACAATGTGTGACTTGATGCGAGTTGAAATACATTTGGCTTAAGTGTTTGGATTAAATGCATATGTCATCACTTGGGCAGTGTGAACTGCGTTGATCAGCTTTCCATGATAACGGGACCCCTATCTCTCAGCATAAGCTTTTGCCGGAGGTATTCCAAGTAGCAAGACCTCTTATTCAACAGGCAACAGGAAGTAGCAGTAGTGCAGGCGATTATGACAAATTAATTTATATGGTGTCTATTTAAATGATACAAAAACGTGTGTGAAGTAGCAGTGTGGAGAATTTCCTGGAGTCAGAGCTGCTTAGTCATGGAAGCCATCACGCAGTTATACCTTGGGGCTTGGCAGTGGGGCTGGCATATATCAGTGAAGCCTCGCAGATCACTGTTAGGCCTTTGAAATGACTGGTTTAAGTAAACTGCAGGTGAGTTGCTGCTGTCATTGATCACTTCCATGCAGTTGGGGGTCCGATGGAAAAAAAGTGGTAAAATGGTAACGTGTTTCCTGTGGCAGAGGCTGAAGACCAGCTGGTTTATGTTAGAGTGTCCTGTCACTTACCTGATATCTGTATTCCTAACTGCCTTTTTTTTGACACTGCATTTTTTTGGGTTTGCTGTAAGCCAGTTTGCACTGGCCTCGGTTCGGCCCTGTTTACTCTCTTCCACTGGAGTCTCAGCACCCTGAAATCTAAGTAGCTCTCGGCTCAGTGTGGGGACCCTGCATCATCACACCTGAAATGCAGTGCTGGTCGTTCAGAGTCCCCACTGCTGCTGCAGTGAGTGATAACTGGGCCGGTTGCATATGGGTGAGGGGTGCAGAGCATCACAGATGGGACAGCGTGACCCGTCAGCTTCGGCTGATGGCTTTGGGGTTCAGACTCTGTTCAGCTAGCTCTGCGTATCCCATGGGAAAGCAAGTGTCTCCACAGAAACTTTAATCTAGTCGTGATGTTAAAAGGGGAAAAAGCAGGAGGATATCGAGAGGTCCTGCAACTTCCTCTGTCAACCTTAAACCATGGTAACTTTGAAAGTTAGTGGGTGATCAGCAGTAGTCTCATGGGTCTCTTGGTAAAGTGTTGGAAAGTGCTGAAAATGGCTGCCAGGCACTGCGGGAATGGAGCCATATGTGGTGGTGAACACTAAAAGAGCCCTTTAGCTTCTCTCCCTCTTGACCTTTTCTCTCCTCCCTCAGCAGGCCGAGGAGCCCTGCATGACATGCTCTTCATGCATCTTGTTCTCGCTCTCTCGCCCCCTAGGTATGAACTGCGCATACGCTATTTGCCAAAAGGCTTCCTGAACCAGTTCATCGAAGACAAACCAACCCTAAACTACTTCTACCATCAGGTGAGTTTGCTGGCACAGGCTGGGTCATCTGAGGCCCCCTGGATCTCCAGGATCAGGTGTTATGGAACAGCGTGTTTGGGGAGCAGTTTTAGTAGGTCAGTCGTTCCATTTGGGCATCCGCCTCCGAGGCTCCCCGAAGTTCTCCGCTGAAGTGAAGCGGGGCCATGTCTAGCTACTGCTAGTTTTGCTCAATTTATGTCACATTTGTTTTTAGATTGATTTTATAAATTTTTCTGAGGGTTAGGGTTAGAGATGGGGAAGGGCTGGCATTCTGGATGGTTAGAAAGATCTTAGCTTGGGCTAGAGCACCGGCTTTGAGTGCCAGGTGGAAGACTGCCTCTTGTGCTGAGAGGAGCCAGGATTTCGGCGCCTCCACGACGCTGCTCTGATGCTGCCTCTGAGGAGTCTTTTGAGGGAGACGGCTCTCCTTTCTGCTGTCCAGGGTAGCGCCGTGCCTTTTCCATTGAAGCGGAGCCAGAGCATCTCCGTGAAACACGCAGCCTGTGCTCGAAGTGCGTGGTGAACGGCTCATGGAGACGGGTGGCGGTATTTACCCACTTTGAGTAGCGCCCCTGCTCTCCGCCTCCTCCCGTTGGCTCTGCACATCCACGTGCTGCTCTTCTTTCTGCTCGCTGCCTTCCCGCCCACCTTCTCACAATCCTCCTACTCCTTCCCTCGTCCCAGAGCCGTCTCTCATCCCAGGGAGCCCGGGTGGCTCTTGAGACACGGAGGCTCATCGTAAACGTAGCTGAGATGTGCCAGTAGCGAGGAGTGTGACATATAGCTGTAGGAGTGCTAATGAGGTTCTGCCATATTTACTTTAACATCTTGGCACTTGACGTGTAATGAGCATCTGATCTTGTTTTGCAGGTAAAAAATGACTATATGTTGGAAATAGCAGACGAGGTCGATCAAGATATTGCACTTAAGTTGGGCTGCCTTGAGATCCGGTGAGTCTGAAGCATAAAACCATGAATTTCCCCTCACGTGTGCAAGAGCTCAAACCCGGCAAATTAGTCATTGTTCTGTGGTGATCCTTTCATTCTACGCCCATCCAGATACCATTTGATGTGTCCTCTAGTTTCTGTTGGGAAAAGCCTGAGTATGTGTTACTGAAGCAAACCTAAGATGAACAGATGAAGTTCTGTAAAATATTTGTCATTCAATGCTTACAGTATTGACCTTGATATGCTGTTGTTGGGAATGTATGTAGATTTGTTTTTATTTGTAGTATTTTGACAGTGATGTTTTTTCTCCCCAAACAGGAGGTTTTTTAGGGAGATGAGAGGGAACGCTCTGGATAAAAAGTCAAACTATGAGTTATTAGAGTAAGTGACCCTAATACCTTCTTCCTTTTAAAAAGCATTACAAATGTTCAGCATAAGTGAAATGCTTGCTTAGTGAAGGTAGATTCCTTCAGCTCTGCGTGGGCAAACCACTGCTCTAATGGTACCTGTGTAATTCTAGTGGACACTCGTGGGTCGTAACATGGCAGCGATTAGCAGGCCGCGTCGCGGCGTGCGCTTGTTAGCGGGGGCGATTTAGGTACGTATTTGGGGGGTTTGCAGCCTCTTATTCTGAGTGTGTTCCTGCTAACATCGCTGCTTAGATTCTATAGTCCCTCAGTGCAGTAGCTTTCTGTTCTTAATTTGAATTCTACATGCAGCACATGGATGCTGAAATGTGCACACACTAGCTTTTGGTCATTATCTCTGTGTCCAGGCATCACTGCACAGCATTTAGAAGATCGGACTTCTGCCTCGAGGGAAATTAATATCCTCAGCACTGAGAACCTGCAGACTTGCAGTTGAATTCTTCTGTGAAATCGGCGGCATGAGTACAAAATACTACATGCATTCTGATATATGTATGTCGTCAGCTCAGGGGTTAATCTCAATAGAAACCCTGTTCTCTTTGATTGTATACGAATGTGGGCAGCTGTACAGCAATGGCACCTCTAGGAGAAATGTGCTAAATATATCCTTTATTCTAGTGAGCTCATATCTGTCATCAGAGCTGACATCATTCTGTAGGGATTCAGCTGTAGGTGAAACTGGGACACACAAACCCAGTGCGTTGGTGTTGGTTCCTGCATCCTCTTGCTTTTTTAAAGTCTCAGCTGAAGATGTTACAGCGCAGACATTACCCTTAAATCTTTTGTGTTTGTCTTCATGGGCAGAGTTAAGAGAAATGAAATGGTTTGGGGTGCAGAAGTGCACCTGAGTATTTCCTATGGAATCGCTCGCCACAAAACAATAGCTAGTTTGAGAACAGAACCTTTCCAGTTACAAACAGGATTGGAACCGTTTTCCTGGCAGCCATCTTTCTTTAGGGCTTTGGCCAATAAAAACAGCCATACTGGTACTTTAAGGCAGCAGTGACTTGTGTGCCGAATTTGCCCTTTTATTCCTACGTAGTGAAATACACTTTACATGTCAAGGTGGAGCCTGCAGGATTGTCTAAACTGTGACTTAGCATAGCTTAGCCATTCACCTTGGCCTGCATCCCCTCCACGTGCTAAATACACACAGCTGTATGAGATGAGGCTGCACACGACCTGCATCATTCTGTCACACTGGAGCCCCATGGCCTCTTTCTCTGGCATCCGCACGATAGAGCGGCACCCAGGCTTTGGAAAAGCTAATGGTTGTTTCCCAGACAATCACTCTTCCACAAGGCCACCAAGCAGGGACATTGATGATGCTCATTCCTGTCTCATGTACGGTCCAATGAGAGACCCTGTCCTGCGTGTGGCCCTGCTGACAGGCCGAATCTCACTTTGGGGGCATAGCAAGTGCTCATCGCAAGTGAGAAGGTTATAAAAATCACCGGACCTGTTTGTTTTGTCTTATGTCGGTTTCAGTGGCATGTTGACTGAAGATGTATTTTCCCCCTTGTGTTGTCTAACTTCAACAGAAAATGCAAATCCAAACCAAGTTGAATATAAAGAATCCCATTCACAGAGTACTCAACTGGTTGGTTGAAACTAAATCTTGGTCTGGATTTGTACTTTCTGGACCTGAACTTTCCACCTCTTCCAACTTGAATGATCATTCACTGGACAGTGCTGCTGTTGGTGTGGACTGTTTTGTAGCTTGTTTTTATCATTTTGCTTTCTGTTGTCTCAAACGGTCCTGTCCTGTTATTGGCATCTAGATGATGCCGTTCCCTGCCGCATTAAACAGATGAGATTTAGCTGCATTGCTATCAGCTATCCATGGCTGCAAGAGGTGCATAAAGTGAAGGGCCTTTGCTTCACAGGAGGCCCCAGCAGCGGATCGAGGCCCGACTCATTTCCGGCCCTGCTGAGATCAGATGGGTCTCTGAGGGGCGTCAGCACTATTAACCGGCATCCTGTGTTTGCATCGGAGTTTTCATTCCAGCCGATCCCATCGTGCACGGATCGTCGTCGCTGGCTCGCTGAGCTTCAAAAGATCGCTGTGCGTTTCCTTCAGATAAAACCTTTGATGGCCGCCGGCAAACGGAATCCTCCCTTAAGAGTTTGGCAGGGAGATGAAAGCCAGCGAGCGCTACGGAGAGCGTTTCCGAAAGCGCGGCACAGAGGCGCTCCCTTTTCATAGCGCTTTCCCGTGTATGCACATGCCCCTCTGCGTGCCTAATGCCCTGCTTTTCCCCTCTCCCCAGGAAAGATGTGGGCTTGAGAAGATTCTTTCCCAAGAGTCTGCTGGACTCCGTTAAGGTGAGCCATGTCCTAATGCCCTCAGCTCCACCTTCACCTTGGCGAGTGGGCAGGTGGGCAGGCGGGGCCTCACCTCCGGAGCCTTTTCTGCACTGTGCGCCCCTCTGCTCGGCTTCTCACTGGGCTCTGGAGAATACATGGCCCAGTTCCGCCTCCTGCACACGCCTCAACCGGCCAGGACTGCAGCCCCACCCCCTCCCCCCGGAACAATGGCCGCTCATTCGTCATTGGGTCGCTCCCCCCACCCCCCGAACATTTCACTTCCGTTCAAAGCACATGATGCCAATTTAGCCAAAACAGCAGCCTTTTGAATGGATGCAGATTCGCTGGGATTTATAGCAGTGACATGAATATGCATGCCAGCGCTCGTTTTATCTATCTATTTTTTATTTTTTTATTTTTTACGAGGTCTGCTGGATTTATGCACGGAAACGGCGGGTGGCCCCCCTGCGACGGCGAGGAGGCTGATAGATTTACGGCACGCGCCTGGCCGCTTTGTTTGGTGCTGGCAGCTGGGTGTGAAAGCAGACCCCCGTGACCCTAGGTGCCCGCGAGTGATCCAGAGGGGACAGATGCTCGGGCCAGGGTGGTGCGAGGCGGCCCACCCCCCTCCCTCCCACATTATCATTAACCCCCCGTGGGATTACAGAGGGTGGCCAGAGGGGGTGTGTAATGGGGGTTCCCCTTACAGGGCGTCCCCGTCTGTCACGCAGACCATCTGCGGCAGGTGAGCACAGACTGCGCTGTGTGGGACAGCCACCTGACCTCATATCTCTGGCTACACATGGGGTCTACATGCCCCTTATTCACATCGCGACGTCGATACTGGCATTATTAATATAATCAGATATGATGCAGGAAAGCACTGTTTATAAATGATGATTCCCCCCCCCCTTCAGCTGTCTGTTCACTCCATTCTTGACGTGACAGATGGCCCTGGCTGTAATATAACTCAATCAAATCATAATCAGATTGATGCATTAATCATTTTTATTGCCCAGTGTGGCATTTGCATAATTAAATCGCTGATTTTACCCAAAAGGACACATTCACACGTGCTTGATCATTATTAAGAAAACTTTGTAAAATCTGTACTGTCCCCCCCAGTAGAAATTTACTGTGCTGTATTGCGAGCCAGAGCTGGGGCCATGGTGGGGGTCGCAGTCCTTAATTGTCGGCTCCCATGTGACTGGAGTAGATGGACTGAGATACCAGCAAGCTTCCTTTCAGGATGGGTGGATGGCATGAGATTTGAGGAATAAGCCCATGTCCGTCTCTTTCTACTGTCCTGATCTGGGATGTACTGCTTTTGTCGAAAGACCTATCAGGGCATCAGGGTTGCTGCCAAGGCCACGGTGAGGTTGTGCTTGAATTGAATTGGTGAAGATAATGGAATTAAATTTATTTAGTTGGTTTTTTTGTGATTTTGCAGTTCATGCACAGGCTTATTCATGCAGGACTGTTTACCGTGTGTAAAGCATAGGTGCTATTGAACATGCTCTACTTCTGAAGGCTCACAGTAAATTGGTTAATTAATCAGTAAATAAAGTAGGTGTGAGGCTCGTTTTACGCTGCATATCTGTGACACCTTAATGGATGGATTGTCCTTTGTGTGCAGTCAGGCTGCCTCTTCCCCCCCCCCCCCCAGAGCCGGTGCGTGGAGCTCGGCCGCCTGACTCATGCCGGTGTTTATCCCCACACGTGCAGGCAAAAACTCTGAGGAAGCTCATTCAGCAGACCTTCAAGCAGTTCGCCAACCTGAACGACGAGCAGAGTGTCCTCAAGTTCTTCGAGGTCCTGACACCGGTCTACAGATTCGATAAGGAGTGCTTTAAGTGCGCTCTAGGGGTAGGTGGTCCCAGTGCCTCGCACGGGGCTCGCTGTATTCTGACCGCATCATTTTCGCAGGAATGATCGTCATTTCAGACCAGTCGGTGTCTGCCGGGGTTTGGTCTGCTTGGGGGATTGTTTAATAGTGACCCCTGCTGGACATCAGCTGAAAATATTGTCATTTCTTTTTCCTACGTTCAGGTTCTGTGTTCTGATGAGCGTTGTAGCACAGACTCTGTAGATCTCGCAGCTGCTCTTGACTCGCATGGTCACTGTAAAGTCAATTGTATACATCTCCAAAGCTTCCTTTCCCTGAGTTTTGTTCTCAGTCTTATCGTATATCATGCTTCTGCCTGTTCAGCTGAGCTGGGTCATCTCTGTGGAGCTGGCCATCGGTCCAGAGGAGGGAATCAGCTACCTGACCGACAAAGGCTCCACGGTGAGTAGGGTCACGCCCCCACCTTCACCGCCGTCGCTCCTGGCTACACGTGGCGCTGCCTCAGCGTCCGTCACTCTGTGTCCGCTTGTTGGGCTAGGAGGACGGGCTTCATCGGTATTCACGGCTTAGCTGTGATAGAAGAAGGCGCCTAGTCCGTTTAATGACTGCCTGTCTGTCAGGATATTCAGGGAAGTCGCCGCAATTACGATATCATTAAAGGCGAGAGGTTGTGTTTCATCAGTGATAGAGCAGTCAGAGCGCTGTCACAGCTGTGGACCCCTCAATAAGCATTGGATTAACAGGCTCAGGTTAGCTTATGTCAGGCATCGATCCTGTACCTCCGCAGCGCCTCCTGGTGGCAGGGCCCCGCGTTTTCACCGCCAATCGGCATTTCAAAGCACGCTCTGAACTATTTATATGGAGCTGTCCTCCGGGCTTCATTTAATGAGACGGGATGAATATTCACTTCACAGGGCACAAGTGTATTAAGGAGGGGAATGCTGAGTTACCCCGAGGAATTCTCTCATAACATTTTCTGGGTGTTGTTTTGTGCACAGGGCAAAGTCTGTTTCTGAAGGGAAAAGCCCTCCACTAGTTTCCATGTAAATGAACAGAAAAATCTCTGTATTAGTGCCTGTTATGTGTGAAATGAGACTGGCTAGTTGCAGGGTTCTGTGCTCACCAGTTTTTAACTTCATGTGATCTAATGAGAGCTTAAGGGACATTTTAGATGCGTGTTGTTGTTACTGGCCTGCTCAGAAACTATACATTTGAGTCTGAATGCATTTTGAAAGAGTAGCCTGCAATTGTTGGTTTTTGTTGTTGTCGTCAGCTTGTAACTTTTGTTTGAAATCGCCTGACTGTTGGATTTAAGAGCACCCCGCCTGTTTTTCGCTGAGCTTTCAAAGCAGTGTTTGCCATTTTCTGAGGACACTGGGCTTCACATCAGCGCTCTCTCTCCTCTCCCCATCAGCCGACCCATCTGGCCAACTTCAACCAGGTGCAGACCATCCAGTACTCCAGCACAGAGGACAAGGAGCGCAAGGGGATGCTGCAGCTGAACGTGGCAGGAGCATCGGAGGTGCGGGCTTCCCCGCAGGGAGCCGTGGGGGGCGGGGGTGGGGGGGGGTCGGCTCATGGAGATGGGGGCACACCTGAGGCAGACCCAGAGTGCGGAGGCAGGTGGCTAATTACAGCAGCTGTGGAGCTCCACGGTGCTGGTGACCCCCTCCTCTCCCCGCTAACGGGCTGTCGGCTCGCTAACGGGCTGTCGGCTCGCTCACATTCTGCCTCCTCTCCATCTCCGGTTCATTCGTACGCATTTCTGTCTGGAACGCGCTCCTCCAGGGGCTGCTGCAGCGATACCTTCATATCTCCATGTGTACTTCAGAAGGCGCCTTGATTGCACCTAGGAAACATCAGCTCTCAGATGTTTTATGCAAAATAGTTTAGCTAGTACGTGTGTTTTTCTCATATGAAGATTTTCTCATATGAAGACTTGAAACTTGACCTGCTGGAGATTTTGTTGGAGTAAGGTCTGCATTGATAGTGTTTACATACCCACTTCGGTCAGACGCAAACCTCTCTTCCATGCTTGGGACTGTGTGCGTGTGTGTGTCTGAGAGTCAGTGTTTTTGTGTTCATGAGTGTGCCTGTGCGTCAGTAAAGACGGGGTTTGTGTGCGTGCATGTGTGCGTAGCCCCACTGGGAGGGGACAGCCGTTTGATTCACAGTCTCCCTCTGCTGATAAAGCCTCTTTGTCACTCCCCTGTTTTGCAGCCGCTCACAGTGACGACTCCGTCCCTGAACACAGCGGAGAACATGGCCGACCTCATAGACGGCTACTGCCGTCTGGTCAATGGGAGCTCCCAGTCCTTCATCGCCCGGCCGCAGAAAGGTAGGCATGTCCCCTCTGTGGGCTCACTTCCAGCCCCCTCCTGGCCTGGGGGCAGGAACTTGTTGGTGATCTGTTTAAAATTCATGAATGGTGCCATTTCTGGATGCTGGGCGGTTGCCGTCCCAGGGAGGCGAGGGAACAACTGTTAGCATTTTTTTTTGCATTCAAACAATACTATATATTCACATAAACCTCTAATCAGCTGATGTGGAAAGACTGTTTGTAATATTCTGAAGGTATATTTTATTATGTTTCTGTCAAAGTTTTCATTCATGCTTTCGTTCATGCATTTACATAACAGGGCTAAGTGTGCTGCAGTTAGCTTGGCTTGGTTGCCTTATACTGTAAATAAGCAGTAATGCGATGGTCCGCTCTGCATGTGGTTCTGCGATGCTGCAGAGCATCTGGACCGGGGGGGAGGCGGGAGCCACACATAGAAGTACTGTCTGCAGGCAGTGCAGGGATGTTTGAGCAGCCTGGAATGTGCCCCCCTCCCCCCACTGACTCTCTTTGAGGCAATTAATGAATCTTAACTGAACCCGAACTCAGTAATGGAAGAGAATTGATTATTATGCATTAAATAGTGTGGGAGGGGTGGTTTTAGGGGAAGCGTTTAATTTGTTTTCACACCCCTAAAGGTTAATTTTGCTTTAAGACAGTGCTTCTGGAGACATTTCTCCAAGTACATTCCCACAATTATCGGAATATGATTCCCGCTATCAGAAACAGCAAGTATAGGTTCAGGCACTTAGAGGTCAGTTTCTCCTATGCTATAGTAAGAAAAGGTGTTTTTTGTCCCCTGTAATATCACAGCCGTATTTCTGCTGACTTGTTTTTCTCTGGCTGTCTGTCCACAGAGGGGGAGAGAGCCTTACCCTCAATCCCAAAGTAAGTTCTTCACAAATTGTCACTGTAGTAAATGCAATCTCTAAAGTCTGTTCAGCAGTCCTTCAAATAGCCAGGCCCGCTAATAATAGACTGTAAATAATGAAGTCATTTGCTCGTCTCAGCTGCTGGGCGAACCCCATTTAGCTTATGTTCAGGATTTGCTTTTGTCCAAAATATCCAGCTACATAAGGGGAGGGTCTAAAACTGTAATGCACATGTGTCGCTTTCCTTGAAAACAGACTGCATGGTGTAAACAAATAAACGGATGTTGGAAAAACAACTAGAAAAATCCAGTGGTGTTTGGCTCTACTGTGGACCAGCAAGGGTCTCAAAGCAGTGCATGCTGGGAAGTACAGAAACACTGTGCTTTCCGTACGTCACAGTATGGCACTTCTAGGATGCAATAGCTAGACTTTTTAAGGAGAATTCTTTGTAATTTGCTTATTAACTAAACCCTCAGGTTTTTTTGTTTGTTTGTTTTTTTTTTTAATTACCGTTTTTGCTTTAACATTTCCAGTTTTCCAGCATGGCCTCTGATCCCCCGCTAAAGTGTGATTTAATGTTCACTCCTCTCCAAAACTGCACCTTTCTGGCACCAACTGCTCTCACAGCTTTGTTCAAATAAGGAGAAGTGTCCTGACCCCCCCCTTCCCAGCACGGCTTGGCTTTCACGTTCTGTTTAAAAGCCCCCTCACTCTCCTCTCTGATTTTCTTTTTTTATGGTGCATTGGTGAGGAATTTCTCTGTGTGCTGCAGTGTGAGCGACTCTCTCCTCCGCCTCACCCAGCTGTCTCCGACACCTCCCCCTCCCCTCGTCATAACGATGATCCGACCGCCTCCCCGCCGCCCCGGCCAGCGACGTGATTGACATGCAGACAACAGAAAGGATCGGAGCCAAGTCAGGCTATCGATGGGATTCATCTTCTCTAACCTCTGTTCTTCCAGGCTCGCCAATAATGAGAAGCGACTGGAAGGGATTCGGACAGGCGTCCGTGCCATCTCCGTTTCCGGTAAGCAGTCCCGAGCCGAGCCCTCCCGGTTTCCGGAGGGACCGCGATCGCGCGGGGGCTGAGCGTGCCGGTGAGCCCTTTGCTGTGCGATGTAAATGCCTCATCTCCTCATTGCGGGAACTGCTGCCCGCTCAGTCCACATGCTACTCTGCTAAGGGCTCTTTTTCCCCTGAGGTTGAGACCCTCGTTCTTCTGTTGACATTTTTGTGGGACTTTCTGCTGAATAACAGTGAGGCTCCACTCGTCTGTGATGACTCTCCTTCTGTGATAGCACACCATGTTCCCGCATCAGCCCTGATGCACCAGGCCACGCATCACTCGTTCTGTGGTTATTTTGCTGTGTTAGAGATGAGCTGTGTTTTTTCCCGTTCCTTATGATTAACAGGGTCTCCATCTGAAATGTGTGGTCCTCACAAGGCTCTGTTGGCCCTGGTATTCCCTCTCAGTTCCCTGTTATGTTACTTCATAGCGTCTCTCTGCAGTGTCTATATATAGGAGATGGCAGTTTGTAATCGGCAGATCAGATGCCCCCATTTTGTTATTTTTAGATCCAAGCAGTGAAGTTCAATCAGGTACAACTGCGGACGTTTGTGACAACGCAGTGCAGTGTCTCGTATTAGCTAGTCGCATCATTCTTTTTCTTTTTACAGTTCGCAGTTTTCCCCCCCTAAGCTATCCCTGTCTGTGCACACGTCAGAAGATGCGTACATAGTGCCATAAATAAACATCAGCATTTATTTAGCGTCTAAGTGTTTGTTGTTTGAGACACTGAGGTTAGCAGATGCTGTCTGATAAATTATATTAAGTCTTGTGTTATATTTTGTTCAGTATTATGATGTAGTCTGTGTAGGTGTGTGTTTGTGTTATGTATATATTACGTGTATTATATATTTGGTCCCCGCAATGTGATAAAAATGTGTTATTTTGATGTTGTGGAGACCATTTTTTTTCAATAAACACAAAGGGAAACTCAAATATATAAAAATTGTGACTGCAGTCAAAAAATTAAAAATGCCAAAAGTCTTATATTTTGTTTGGTTACTTATGGTTATGGTTAGGACTGGGTAGGGGTTAAGGTTGTCATAGATGGGATTAGGGCTATGCCCATAGAAATGAATGGATGGTCCCCACAAAGATATGAATACAAAATGTTTGTGTGTGTGTGTGTGTGTGTGTGTGTGTGTGTGTGTGTGTGTGTGTGTGAAATAGGGCTAGATTAAATTTGTGCTGTCTTTCTTTGCTGTGTTGTGTAGCCGGAGTTTGGTTTCCAAAGGCTCGGGGACTGTTTGTTTTCTGTCAATGCACCAGGCCCATTTCTGCGTCGTCATTCCACGCTTGTGCTGTGCTCGGTCCTATTTAAACATGATCGTCTGAGGTTACCTGGGCCTCCACGTGCCCCCTCCCTCCTCCCGAGATGCTCTCCATGAGGGAGAGTTGGTGGGTAGGAGCTCAGTCCACCGGAATTCCATTTCCACGATAAGTCAGGGTGCGGGTGATGGCACCGTGCCTAGCGGATGCCAGCCTCGGTGACACATGTGCCATGGAGCTCCACAAATTAGCGTGCCTGAGGATTAGCAAGTCGCAGGGGGGTTGGGGGCAGCTGCTAGGGGTCTGTGTGGGAGGCCAGCGCACCGCAGTTAGTCTCATGCCACAGGTTCCCCTTCCGTCAGCTCTGGAAGGCCCATCTGCTTCAGCCCTAGCCGGGTCAGCACTGTGACGGGGTCACATGACGGCCTGGGAAGCCATTTGGTGCGGCTCGTCATGCGCCTGGCTGTGCTCGGCCGTCGCAGCTGTATTCAGCACCCTCCGCAAAGCGTTCGTCCAGCGTTGTCTGTGTCTACATCTCTGCCGAAGCTGACGGTTTGTTTATCGACCTGCCGCTGTGGTCTGGCTGTCTCTGTAAAATGCTGCTGTAAGTCGCACAGCTGCGCCAGCCCCTCCCGACTCCCCGGGGGGTCTGCGTCACACGCGGCACAGCACGCCGCACGCGCACCGGTTCACGGGCCGTGCCGGCAGAGCTGCAGTTCGTGTTTTTACTCACCTCCGCAGCTGAAGGAGGAGCACCATCGGGATGGGGGAGCAGTCTTTCTGAGCAGCCTCTCTGTCTCACGTACACACACAGCAACACACACACGCGCGTACAGATGGACGTCGGAGGACTGAGACGCCAGCAAACTGGTCTTTGCGAGGGCCTCGGGGCAGACGTATAGAACAGCGCAGCGATTGGCCGCGACACACAACTGGCAGATAAAGGGCCGATTGAGAGACCTCATGCTGGGGGGGTGGGGGGGCACACAGACGGGCCCTGTGTCGCTGGTGACCTCAGGGTCAGAGCTCGGGGTGGGGGCCCGGGAGGCTGCCTCATAAGGGCCGTTTGTGTTCGGCCGCGGAGGCCAAGGGCTGTGGCGGTGCAGTCATGAGAGTGCCTGCAGGGTAGTGGTTCGAGTCCCACTCAGGACTCTGTTGTGGTGCCTGAGAGCAGGATACTTCAGCTCATTTCCCTGCAGTGAAACATTCAGCTGTATATGATATTCCTTTGTGTTGCTTTGGATGAAAGAGCCCTTCAAGGAGCAGCAAATATAAACAAGGTTCTTTCTGGCTTCTCCTCCCCATTTAGTTGTACTCGCATGCTCTCGGGTGATCTGATGAGCGATTCGTTTCGCCTTTCAAGTGGGGCTTAAATGTCAACTTCAGTTTCTCCTTTCGCTGCTCCGTTTTCTTCCCTAATATGGAGCGGAACTCGCATCGATCAGTGGTAATTATAATTGGTCCGATGTTTAGATGATCTTCTCCGCCAGGGGAATTCCTCTTAAGGTGCTGTGCAGTCCGTTGATTAGGAGCGCGGTTTCCGCACATGACTGCCGAAGGGCGGTGTTCGTGAGGGCCGTCCGTCGTTAGAGGGCACCAGAGCTGCCGCAGGGCTTGTCTGAGTCAGCGAGCCGCATCCATCTCCCAGGACGTTTCCTCAGGTCGCTGCCGGATCAATTGGATGTCACTGTAAGATAAACAGCTCTGCCACGTTGTGGCTGGCCTTGTATGAGGATGCTTAGTATCCATGATGTTAGCTAGTCAGTAAATGTGCTGTATCCATTTCTGTCCATTCTTAATTCACTTGTTACCAATCTTCTGTGTGTCTGTCTCTCTCCTCTCTCTCCATCTCTCTTGGTCTGTCTGTGTGTGTGAAGAGTCAGTGACTCAGACTCCACCTAAAGCCTCGAGAACCAGACGCTTTGTCCTCCCCTTCGTCTTCTGTTCCCATGAGTCTCCCCCCAAGGGTACGGCCCTCTGGCCTGCAGCCTGTTCCAACTAACCCTAACCCTGGTGTGGCTCTGCCGCACCCCGGGCTGCCTGTACCTCCCGGTGCGGTGGAGGTGGTGTGCCGCTGTGCCCTCTGACCTGAGGAGTGCCCGACTTAAGTGTGCATCTTTGCTGCCTAGACCCCCTGGTCCACTATGCACTTTCTGCTCTTTGCTTTAATCACTAATAGCTTGGCATCAGCAAACCCATTCCAGAAGCTTTCAGCAGGTTGTGTCAAGCTGGCTTTCTCAGAGAGCTACTGAGCTTTGGTTTGCAATGGAGTGCGATGTGATTGTAGGTCGGACTTCATGTGTGCCACGTTCGTCTGGTACGCGGTTCTCTCTGTTGTGCAGGGTGCGCTCCCAGAATGCAGCTCTCTCCTAAGGTGATGACACTTAAATGCTGGGTGTTGAAATGGATGCGGATGCAGCCCATGGCCGTTACTCTTGGCCGGGTTCCGGTAGCCTTAGATCATGAAGTATCCCCTCCAGCCACAAGTGTCTGGCAGGTGCTTGCCTGGTTGTTTGGGACAGTTAAAGGGGTGAAGCAAGGTGCTACAAGTCTGGAGGGCCAGAGGTCCAGCTTCCTCCTGCCTGTGCCTTGCTTCTCTGACCTTTTTATGAAAAAAAAATGGGCAAGTCCTTTTCTGTCCAGTGTCTGTGTTTTATGCTGCCGATTAATTTGGTCCAGGCCGCTGGAGATCATTAAGCACTTATTTTGGTAAGCATCCAGGAGAGGTCCAGACTGTTGCTGGTTCCGGCTTTTTCCAGTTCTTTGTGCCGGCGTATCTTTCGAAGGCCGCGACAATAAAGAATACAGATCTCTCGCTCCGCGTCTTAAAGGGGTCAGTTCCTTTTAGCATGTACGAGAGCATCCCATGAGTAGCCTGACATCTCATCTCAGCACATTGTGGTTGAGGCTTGGTGGCTGCATGAGGTCTGAATTGACAAGTCAACTTGACACTGACACGTTAAGGATTGGGGAAAGTGCAGGAGTTAGCACAGAGTTTGAGTTGTCACAGATACTAACACTGACCTTTAAAATGACGTGCATGTTTATCGATCTGTATATCACTAAAGGATTTAGTGATATACAGATCTATCACAGATCTATATCTTTTTGCCATTCATTTTGTTTTTCTGAATGCAGTAATGAATATAACACTGATGGGAAGGATTTAGAGAAGGCTGCCAAAAATTGTGCATCATAAATATTAGACATTTTCTTTAATACAGTATGATAGCATAATGTAAAATGTGTGGGTGGCTGGTTAACACGTGTGTGTGGAATGTATGAAAGCAGACCCACTTTCAAGTGTGCAGAACATCTTAGGAAGTTTTTCCCCCCCCCATTTGGTGTTTTCTTCAGTTCAGAAGCTCTCTGAAAAGTGTCTGCGGCATAGCAAAGCACCAAGCTCCGCCCCTTGGCAGGTCACGTGACACTGTGCACCACCCAGCAGACTCTGCATTAACCTCAGGGCACAAATAAACAGGAGTGTGCTCTCGGGGCCAAGGCTGTCCTGCTTGTCTCTGTTCACATCGAGCCGGTCTGCCAGCCTTCTCTCTCAAGTGTTTTTCACTGCAAGCTTATTTGTTCGAGAAGGTGTTTAGTACATTCAGCCCTAGAGGAAACTAGCCGTGCTTCCTGTCTCCCTTGTTTTCCCAGCGTCCCAAGGTTCATGATGGTTGTCATCTTGATCTCTGGTTGTGTGAAGCCCCCTCCCCCCTTTAAATAATGCTCTTCCCTTTTCTGTCTTTCCCTCTTTTCTCTGCACGCAACCCGGACCTGCAGAGGAAATTAGTGGGGACGGTAAAGTGTGGCTTTTCCAATTTCATCTCACTCTTACTCGCTACTAACCCCGGACATGCTGTGGTGGTCCCTGTCCGATGCCTGCGATGTTCACGCAGCCCTGTAGCCCCCGCAGGCCTGTAGGCTCTCCTAGCTGTGCCTCACCCATGCGTTCGGCCGCATTAAACACCCCTTGTTGCCTTGTGGCTAGTCAGGCTCTGCGGGGAAATCGCAGGCTTTGTCGCATATAATCAAACATAAAGCGCAAATGTCAGTCTGTAACTCACTATCAGAGAAGCAGCCACAGGAGCCGATTCCCCTGCAGGTGCAGAAGGTGACATGCCAGTTCTCCTCATATTGCCCCCATAGCAGTTAAAATGTGCTGCTTTGGAAGCTGGGTCCCTTCTACTCTCTATTCATGCCAGGTATACTGTAATTACCCACCTGGTACCATTCGTTTGTATGAGCAAATGTGCTGGCCAGTGAACACAGGAGCAGGGACATCTCTGTCTGATTCTTTTCCATCTATTTTCCAGTTTTGAAGCACCACATAAGTACATTTTGCTATCAGGCCAGTGCTGGAACCTTCCCCCCCCTTTCCCCCGCCCCCCTCCATCTTATGGTGTCCTGGTTATCGCCCCTCCAGCCTGTTTCTCAGAGCTCTCGGCACAGACAGAGTAACTCTGGGTTACTGATGACTTAATCTGTTTTTCCCGGAGAGAGAGAGAAGGAAAAAAAAGAGCGCTCCTTAGGTCCCGCACTTCCCCATCCCTCCTCCCGTGCTCTCAAATGTCACTGCCATGCCGCTCCGATTGGACACCAGTGTGTGTGCTCCGCCGCAGCAGCCCTGGGAGCGTGTGTGCACTGGGAGGGAGAGGGGAGCACATGTGCGTGTCCGCCTGTCCCCCCGGGCGCTCGTCTGTCTGCCTGGCGCTGAGTGCTCAGTGTGTATGGGTGCGTGCGTTCCTGCGTGCGTGCGTGTGTATGTTTGGATTTTTATTTTTGGCTGTGGGCGTCTACGTGTCCTAACTCTCTACTCTGACTGAGAGCAGATTCTGACTGAGCCTGTTGTCTTTCTGCAGAGACGGACGACTATGCAGAAATCATAGACGAGGAGGATACCTACACCATGCCCTCCAGTAAGTAGAGCAGAGCGCCCGTCCGGTCCGCTTAAGGTGGGGACGTGCCGGGCCCCTGGCCAAGAAGCACGCGAGGCGCGCCAGCAGCCTGCACACCACACTTCTGCATCCGCAGATGTTCCCTCAGACGTGGCTCTCCTGCCTTGTCTAGCCCTCTGTTTTATTTCAGTTTTTTTTTCTTCTAAACAAATGCTCTCCATGTTCTCTTCTGCGCTGTTGCGGTTTGTTGAATCTGAAGATTGTAACTGTTTACGGGTCCGTCTTTCTCTCCTCCGTTTTAGTTTCTGCGGAACCAGGCAGGGGGTATTGCTTACGTCGCCGTTTCACTTGTATCAGTGCGTGATTCGTGCAGCGGAGACCACGAGGGCGTTTCGGTCACCATCGCCGAATCCCCGGGGTGTTGTTTGGGCCAGCTGACTGTGGCCGTGATTGAGGGTGGGGGGATCATGCTCATACACACCTCATAGTTCATGCTCACGTGCTGAGGTCCCGCCCCCGGAACGTACCATCTGGTGGGAGCAGCCTGCAGACAGCTGCTCATATGCTGCTCTCGTAGAATAACATCGAGAAATGGCTGAGCTCCGTCTGAGTGTCGCTCTCACGGAGATTCGCTTTCGTCCCCATCCCCCCGTGTACTCTCTGTCTGTGTGCCCTGTTCTGGTGTGTATTCTAAAAGACAGCTTTGCTCTCTCTCTACTTTAATGGCACTGCAGAGAGCTATGGATTAGACGAAGGTAAAGCGCTCTCTTTTTCTGTCCAAGTCTGCCTGCTCATCCGTCAGTGATCGTGTGGTGGTGTCTGCTTCTCCGTTTGTGTTTGATTACTTCTGCCTGCCACATTTCTTGTGTGTGTCAGTGTGTGTGAATATTTGTAATGTTGCTTTGCCTCTTACTGGCACTGTGTGGAGTAGCACATGTGCGTTTTAGTAAAGTGAAAAGACATTATTAATTGAAGCTATGACTAACCGATTGAATCATCCAAAAAAAAATACACTCTGTAGTGGTAAAGCATTAGAGACTTTTTTTTTTTTTGATGGGGTGAGATCTGCTTGCGTTTCTTTGCCAACCTGACCGACCTTAAAAAGTTCAGAATGCTGCATGGAATGTTAATGCTTTTCATCTGACACGGCTTGAAGTGCAACAGCCTCTGTTTACAGCTGCATGCATTAAACACAAACACCAGGAAAGGCCAAATGACCCCTCTTGGATACTTGGCGATGTCATTTCCCATCAGCCCCCTCTTGTGTACACCTCCCTGGATACTGTAACCACTTACAGTCCAGGTAAAAATGTGCTTCACCTGAGCTGCTAGCAAGAGGCCCAAAGCAACAGTAACAAAGAAAGCATGTGTTATCCATCGTCATTATCTTCTGCTATGGTCTACACTTCATCTACTGGCTGGAAGGGTTAAGAGTATCTCTTCTGATTTCTCAGAGGGGCTGATTTCGCAATCAGGAACATATTTTTAATGACTAAGCTCTTTTTTTATTACTAAACTGCTCGTAAAAGATGGAGCCGAGGTTTCTGTTTAGATTCCGTAGCGCTGTAGTGTGTCGGTCATGTGGTGACCCATCCCTCCTGAGCCGTGTCACTGACACTCTGATCGCTTGCATGTCCAGCCAGGGACTACGAGATCCAGAGAGAGCGTGTGGAGCTGGGTCGCTGCATCGGAGAGGGCCAGTTTGGAGACGTCCATCAGGGGATCTACATGAGCCCAGTAGGCATCACCGGAGCCCCGCATCACGCTGCGCGCAGCCAGGCTAGCATGCGGCGTACATGGCAGTGTGTTCACTGCTGATATACAGCACTGTGCAAAAGTCTTAGCCAGTCAAAGAAAACATTGAAATGATCTTGATGTTTCTGGAAAACTATAATGCTATGCCTGTCAAGGTGTGTCAGCTTAGGCCAGGGCTATTCAACTCAGGCCCTCGATTCCAAATCCAGGCCGTATTTTCAGGTCTCCCAGGTAGTTAGTTTAATAATTATTGATTCTGATTGGTCAGAGGCTTCACACCTGGCTCACAGGCAAAGGAAGGCTGGAAAACCAGCAGGGCTCGGACCTTGAGGACCGTGAGTTGAATAGCCCTGGCTTAGGCACCCAAGTATTTGCAAGAACCATGCAATACACCAATATATTTACTGGCTCGACTGCTACCCCACCTTGTCTGCCTAATCAATACCTCACTGAGTTATTTAAGTAATTAAGTTCATTAATTAATTGAGCTAGTAGTGAAATTTAACAAACACATGGAATGGCAGGGTTACCTGAAGTGGTGTTCATCTAGCCATTCAAGAATATCAACTTCTTAAAGAACAAAAAATTTATGTTTTTATTGTGTTATTGTTAATTTGCATATTTTAATGTTAAATTGATATTTTTTTTTACTCTGAACAAATGCACAGTTACTATCCAGATAAATTCCGGCTGGGCGGTATATCGAATTTTTACAGTGTATCAATATATTTTTAAAAGATATAGGATGACAATACCCTTCACATATATAAATATACTTTTATTGTGCCTTCAAATTACGACCCTACTAAAGATTTTCAATGGAGACCAATAGTGTTCCTTCCTGCTTGTAAGCAGCCTGAGAGCTATGGTTGTAATGTTGCACAGAATCCCAGAATTCATAGCTAAAATCAAACCATTGAATTAATGCGGTCTCACAGGAAAGTTGAAGAATCATGTTTACTTGGTTCTTTTCGTTTTAAATAAAAATATTTTATTATTTTTTTAATATCCGATACATTTTCTTGGCCTGACATTTACATAGTACTGTATGTGTAAGAGGGTTAGCAGTGGATTTGCACATTTACATTTAGCTTTTTCAAGCATAATTTAGATTTTTACAGTGTTTCCTTAAAACGCAAAATCTGGATTTTAATGTTGTTTTTAATTGCAGTATTCTGTCTGTTTGCTCACAGTTTTTATTGTATTTGGCAGCTGGACATTTTAAGAGGTCTCAGCTTGATCATGTGACTGACCGCAGTCGGTTATTCTAGTGCCGTCAAACATCACAGCTGTCTGTTTTCACCGCTGTTCCCTCGTGAGCTGTATCGTCACGTCGGTCATTGTGCCCACAGGATAACCCCTCCATGTCCGTGGCAATCAAGACCTGCAAGAACTGTACCTCAGACAGCGTCCGGGAGAAGTTCCTGCAAGAAGCCCGTAAGTGGCCAGTGTTGCCATGGTGCCTTGGCAACCTGTAGGGCGTGTTTCAACGGGCCGGTTCATTGCAGTTAATACTGATGTAATCGACCTGGATCACGTTTAAATGGCAGCTAGACCTCCTCTCATGAGGGGAGGATGGGGGGTTTCCTGTTGGACACTCTCTCCTAGATGTTTGGCCCATGCTGATTTTTGGGAGAACAACAAGCCAGATCCTGTTTCCCATTAAAAAGTTTTCCTTTTTTATTCCCAGGAGAAGTGGGCAGCATGTTTGGTAGAAAATCAGGGGTGGGGTAGGAAAGGTAGTTGTGGGGGGGGGGGTCCGTGCACCGATCAGACTCCTGGCCTCCGCTGCAGAGGTGGATCAAATGGTCACCCAGGGGTCCTCGCCGGGGTGCTCATGTTCCGCAGCGAATGTGACGTGTCAGGCCTTTCCCAGTGCCAGCATAGGCTTGGCAGCCAGACACACTTCCCAATCTGGCCCGCAGGCAGCTGTACTGTAAATTCTTAGCTGATCGTCTTACAGCAACAGCTCGTCCTGATTTAAGTACCTGCCCCACGTTTCAGCCGTCATATTTGATTCCCTCCTTATGATAATTTAACCATCTGCAAGCTGGATCACTGCGGCTGTTACTTGCACGGTGGTCCTCATGACGCACTTCCTGTCCCACAGTGGTCCTCATGACGCACTTCCTGTCCCACAGTGGTCCTCATGACGCACTTCCTGTCCCACAGTGGTCCTCATGATGCACTTCCTGTCCCACAGTGACTATGCGCCAGTTTGACCACCCTCACATAGTGAAGCTGATTGGTGTCATCACAGAAAACCCGGTCTGGATCATCATGGAGCTCTGCACTCTGGGCGAGGTGAGCTTAAGGTTTGGGCTTTCATGTCCACACCTAACCACCATCTTCCTTGTTGCCAAAACTCAGTATTCCAGCTCTTCAGTGCCCTCTGGTGGTCCATCGGTGTACTAGCATTTTACTAATAAGAATGGTCCTCACTGCAGTTGTTCTATTGGTCATTTTGATTTCTTGAATTTCTTCCTGCAGCTGCGGTCTTTCTTGCAAGTAAGGAAGTACAACCTGGACTTGGCCTCACTGATCCTGTTTGCCTACCAGCTCAGTGCTGCACTGGCTTACCTAGAAAGCAAGCGGTTTGTACATAGGTGAGAGCCATTCTTCAGCATCTTCCACAGGGAGCTATAAAATAGGTTTTTTTCTTATTTGTGGCTCAGCCATGTTGAATTGATTGTGATTGTGCTTATGTTTCTGTCCTGTCTTTCGCACAGGGATATAGCTGCTAGGAACGTCCTGGTATACTCAACAGACTGTGTAAAGCTAGGGGACTTTGGTCTGTCCCGATACATGGAGGACAGCTCTTATTACAAAGGTACCCTTTAACACAAGTGCATTATCATTTTAGGGAAGCCCGTTCCCAACACTGCTGTGTAGTTTTATCATTTGTGGTATTTGCGTTGATATTATTCTGTTTTCTGCTTAGTTTACCAGCTTGTCATATGCTAGTGGATTGTGCTTCTTGAAAGCATCACTCTAAATTATCAGTGAATAGATTTTTTTTTTAATGCATTGTTGGTGCCACCTACTGGCAGATTGCATTCAATTCAGCCATGATCAACACTATAGAATAAGGCACATTAACACTTATTGAGTTGAAAGTTTTATATGTCACATCCGGTTGCATTTTGTGGCCTCTATTATAGTCATGTTTTTTTTTGTTTAATCCATAATGCACTGTGTTGTCATTGGGTCTGTGATTCACAGCCTTAGTGTTCAGGCAGCTCAGCAGGTTGCCTCACAATGGCATGTGATTTTTCCAGCTTCTAAAGGGAAACTGCCAATTAAATGGATGGCTCCAGAATCTATTAACTTCAGACGCTTTACCTCAGCCAGCGATGTCTGGATGTTTGGTAAGTTAAAGGACACGAGTGCTTTTTCTGACTCTGCCTGTAGGGAGAGCGGTTTGGTGTCCAGGTGCTTTCAAACAGCCCCCTCCTTAACTCACCTTTTCGCCTTTTCCAGGCGTCTGCATGTGGGAGATCCTCATGTATGGGGTCAAGCCCTTCCAGGGGGTGAAGAACAACGATGTCATCGGCAGGATAGAGAACGGCGAGCGGCTGGCTATGCCTCCCAACTGCCCCCCTACGCTGTACAGCCTCATGACCAAGTGCTGGGCCTATGACCCCAGCAAGAGGCCCCGCTTCTCGGAGCTTAAAACCCAGCTCTGGTGAGTTCCGGTGTCGTTGATCTCAAAGCCCGGCTCTGGTGAGGTCCGGTGTCGTAGATCTCAAAGCCCGGCTCCGGCAAGTTCCGGTGTCGTAGATCTCAGAGCCCGGCTCTGGCGAGGCCCCGTGTCCCAAGGTGCCACTCAGGGCCCATGCAACGACGAGGCTTCACACAGTGGGCATGACTTTTTTGTGCTGTCAGTTAGTGTATCATTAAAATCACTTCCTGTGCGGTTACTTATCTGATTTCTGGTTGAGAACCTCTCTGCCTTGAGTTAAGAGGTCTAACCATAGTTATGTTGGTTTTCAGTATGGGACCCCCCACCCCAGCGACTTTTATTATCAAGATTTCAAAATACTGGAATAAATTTGCTTTTGAAACCATCACAGTACCGTACACTGCCATATGTCTGGATATTATGAAAATCTAATGTGGCCCAAACATGTGACTTTAAGCAGCCAATGGTGTAAGACGGCATCTTTGTCTTAGATAACAGTGCTAAAAGGTGCTGCTTTTCAGGAGACAATGCTCATTATTGTAAAACTGCTCATCCTGGCAGGAAAAACAGCTGCAACTAATCCCATGTTGTTGTTGGATATGAGGTATAATGTTTGACAATCCACATTTCAGGGAATCTTAACCTCAAAGGAAGGATGCAAGCATAACAGAAACTTTAAGTGAAAATCCTTGCTATGTTAACTTGGTTACACTCTTCTTCAGGGCATTCACAAATCTAGCTGTAAGTTTGACACCCTTCTTTGATATAATGAATCACATGGTAGCAGTCTACATAACTTCCTGTCTGAGAGTGACCTCATCAGTTGCATTCTCACAGACTGCAGATCTCTGATCTGTCCTACCTAAGGACCCCAAGGGGAGATTATACAGGTGAATGATACCATCCAGAGCAGCATTGCAATTGGGCTTCCCCAAGGTTCAGGTATGAGTTTTCGGTCAGATGGATGCCTGCAGTGCAATCAATTATTGCGTTCATGGTGTGATTTTGGGCATTACCCTGCTACGTAAGCCTTAAATGCACTGGCCTCGTCTTCCTGGAAACCACACAAATATTTAGCAGATGTTTATATCAAATTTGTGCCGTATGTGCCAAGCATTGGATCTGTGTGGTGTCAGATATGGAATTTAAGTGTAATTGCGTGCCAGGTGTGAGAGGGATGAACCACGTGCAGAATGTGTGTGTGGCAAGTCTGACGGGGTAAGTCTGTGTCATACTATGGAGCAGGAGGGACCATATTCAGAACTCGGGGACAATTGAGAGCCCTTTCGCTGTGAATTAGGAGTGTTGGTTTGTTTCAGCGTCGCGCTGTGCTTGTGCTGTGCTTGTGCTGTGCTTGTGCTGTGCTTGTGCTGTGTGCAGCCCCATTATTCTGAGGTTTCGTGGGCCTTCATTGGACCCCCCTCCCCAGAGACACCCTACATGGACATGCGCATGTACATTAGACAGCGCAGCCTGGGGATTCACCCCCCAGTCTATAAGCTCAGGTACCCACGGGGAGCCAAGCGATAAGGAGGTCCGGGAATCCGGGGTGGGGCCCACTGCCAGGCATGTCCAACCCCGCTGCCTTTGGCAGGTCGGGGCGAGTTCCCAGACGCACCACACCCCGTTTCTTGCGATTGTACTGGTCGTGATCATTGTACAGCTCCAGTAAATACTGGGAATGATGACAGGTAGTGATGTAAACTTTCCTGAAAACTTTCCGGCTTGTGTCTGTGACACAGGGCAGCTGTGGAAGGTAATGCCCGCAAGGCCATACTGGGGAAGTTGGTTATCACATTGCTGTCAGCGAGGCTCTAAAGTACGGTGTCTGGCGTGTCACCGTTTGGTCACTGGGGTTACACCCCTCCAGGGGGGTGGACACCACATACTGGGGCTGCTTAATGGGTTCATTGCCTGGGAAGTTTGGTTCAGTGTGGAGGTGGAGTGTATGGGCCATTCTGACCTGGTCTGACACGCACCTTTTGGGTGTGTCTGTTGTATATTCAACCCCCCCCCTTGCTCTTGCCGGCAGTCTCATTCCTCATGTCTTCCCCCTGGCCGCGTCACGCCCATGCCGAGTCATGCGATTTTGTCAGCCTTGCCCATCGTGACGGGGCTGTATTAGGCTGCCAGGAGACATGGAGAGATTAGAGGCACGGGGACACATCCGTCTGAGTGCCCTCTAAGCTCACAGGTTTTAAGCATCCTGTGATGCCCTCTAAGCACAGCTAACTTGGTTCAGTGTGGAACTGCGCTAGGCCTGTGGCCCCGGGATGTGCTGAGTGAAGTTTAGAATAAACCTGTCATTAATTGCACCACGCTAATTTCAGCCTAGTCCAGGGGTGGGCAATCTTATCCGCAAAGGGCCGGTGTGTATGCGGGTTTTCGCTGCAACTCTCTAATTAGGTCACTAATTAGAGGACTGATTGGCTGAAGAGTCCTCACACCTGGGTTTGAACAGCTGACCTACAGGTTATCCCAAAAACCTGCACACACACCGGCCCTTTGCAGATAAGATTGGCCACCGCTGGCCTAGTCTGTTCCTGATACTTGGTGTTCCCCTCACTTTTTACCCCTCTCTTGCTAGGCCTCCTTGAGGTCCAAAGTGAGCATGTGGTCCACACTGTTAGGGGGCTTCCTTGCAGGAGAGTTAGTCCTGGATCACTTTCTTTTCATGTTTTATTTAGAGTTTTCTGGTTTTGTTTGACCTTTTTTATTTGAAATTGTCATTAAAGGAGTAAAGCAAACAAGCAAAACTCAAGTGGCTCATTTTAAAACTTAGCGACGTCTGTTCTTACGTGGAGGTCTTCTGCATTGCTTGTCTCGTTTTTGTTTTGCATCAGAGGTTTAAGGAAAGCCAGGTCTCTGCAGATACTGGGGGCCGTATGATAGGCAGCTGTAGATAGCACTCAGAGCAGGTGTACCCCCCCCCCCCCGCTTCACTCCTTCACTAGCTACTTGCATGTCTCCAGATGCCAGGGTGAGGACCTTTCCAGAAATAGGCCCATCTGTCTGGGAGCTGGGGACTGAGCTGTCTGCCACCTCCATCAGGGCCTGCTTGTGTCTGGTCTGCCTCCTGTGTGTGTGTGTGTGTGTGTGTGTGTGTGCGTGCGAGCGGGTTTACCTATCCTTATGGGGACACAATGTCCCCATAACGTGATAAATATCCGTTTTTTTTCCCTTATGGGGACCGGTTTCCTGGTCCCCATAAGGGAAAATTCTATTTTATAAAAAACGGTGACTGCTATGAAAAAACTAAAAATGCAAAAACTCTTGTATTTTGTTTGGTTACTTATGGTTATGGTTAGGGCTGGGTAGGGGTTAAGGTTGTCATAGTTAGCGTTAGCATTTTTCCCATTGAAATGAATGAGCGGTCCCCATAAGGATATGTTTACCCTACATGGGCGTGCGTGCGTGTGTGTGTGTGTGTGTGTGTGTGTGTGTGTGTGTGTGTGTGTGTGTGTGCGCGCACGCGTCCATGTGTATCTCTCTGTCTGTCTCTCCCCCTGTGCCTTGCTAAACCCATCCTCTTTCCGAACCCGTAATGGCTGTGGCAGGGCTGAAAACTAGCTGAGAGTAACAGTACCAGGGCCCGTTGGGTCCGACCTTGGTGTGAAGTTTGTTTTTATGGTCAGGGACTCGCTGCTGTTGGGAAGTGGTCATGTCATTGAACAAACCGTCTCTTTCTCCTGTTAACACCTCAGACACATTGTCAGCCAGCTCGTCCCTGAGTCAGTCAGCCTTTCGCTGCCGCCCCTCGTACCGCCGGGCCGACCTTGGGCCCAGTGGGAAATGGAATCCATAGCACAAGGCAAAAGAAGGGTGGCAGGTGTTTAATTGGCTGTGAGGGTGACTCTGTGTGTCGTGACCCCAGCACCATCTTGGCGGAGGAGAAGGCGCAGCAGGAGGAGCGCATCCGCATGGAGATGCGGCGTCAGGTCACTGTGTCGTGGGACTCCGGCGGACCCGACGAGGCCCCCCCCAAGGTGAGCGGCCGTGGCTGTCCAGCCGGCTCCCGTGGCACATCCCCTTCCGCTACATGCACATGCTACCCTGCAGCTGGTCTCCGGGTCCGTACAGTTCTGGAACGATTCGCTGCCTTTAATGACGTACGCAGAACCTGGAGCTGTCAGCCTTGTCCATCAGCTCACTTCCCCTGGCTGAGCTGGGTGCAGACGTGACACATTTGCCCATTAGCCCATGGGAGGTCGACACTGGGGCCCCGATGTGAATGTGACACCTGAGTGGAGTGTGGGACAGGTGGTAATCTTACACTGTGGGGTGCTACTTACACCTGCTGGCCACCTGTTACACCAACATGCTGCAGATGTTAACCTTTAACTCTTGCCTTCACTTTTGCTTTTCACAAGTTTTCTGTCTGCACAATTCCTTCTGTTAGTTCCCTCCATAATTCTGTTAGCTGCCTCACACGTGTTATTTCTCACATTTCCTGAGGCTTGGTCATGAGTGGTCAGCTCTGTCAGGCCGCTTAGGGTAGATGTTCTCTAATGTCATTAGTCAGTTGAACAGTGGCATTATGGGAAACCCATCCAAGTTTAGCTGCTAAGTGTACATTGTCCCCCTCCCCTACACTATCTCCCAGTCCGTGTCTCTGCTTGATAAAGTTCCATTGTGTCCGAGCCACATCAAATCAGCGTCCGGGGTCACTTTCCCAGCGGAAGTTCCTAACCCCGACTGTTCCTCCCATCCCTCTCTGCCTTGGTTAGCCCTTGGATCACACTGTTGTTCTCCTTTCACTGACTGAGTCCCCTGATTAGAGAGCACATTTCAGACAGCACCCCCTCTCCCTCTCTTGCTGAGTATAGCCCAGCAGGCCTGGATACCCCAGCCCCCGGTCCAGCGAGGGCTTCTACCCCAGTCCTCAGCACGCCGGACAGCACAATCATTACCAGGTATCTCCATCGCTGACTTTCTCTTGAATCAGCGTAGGGATTTCATATGACTTGTAGGATGTGTGATATCGGCACTGACAGTGCGAGAGAAAGTGTGTCTACCCCCCCCCCCAGGGAATTAGTTTTTCGTCGCCCATGCAAACCCCTTGAAATATTACGATTTTTAAAAACTGTTTAATGATGTGTAACATACGTAAAATACCCTGGTAGGAAATGGTTACAGTTTGCCCTGGTGGCTTAATCCATGCTCTTTGAAATTGCTTATGATGTTTAAGCTCTTAGTGTTTCAAGCCAATAATAGTCTTTGTAATGCGATGATCACTGTGCACTGCACCTCATGCCAGTTTAAAAGCAGGTGATAAGTGGTGTTTTATTTTACTGTTGTTGTTTAATTGTAGTTATAGTTATAGACTTCCCATCTGCAGGTATCAGGGTACCCTGCTCCTCATGGCATGTCCCCCATGCCCGGCGGAGGGTACCCACCCCAGGCCTCGGTCCTGGATCCACACGACTCATGGAACCACCACCGGCCACAGGACGTCTCCATGTGGTCACCCAACATGGAGGTGAGCTGGGAGATGGTAAGGGCACCCTCTGCTAATCTTCGGTGGAAACACCATCCCTAATAGTGCTGCTGTCTGATTGATTTTTGCCAGGATGGGGGGCCGCTGGATCTGCGGGGGATGGGCCAGGGTCTGCCCCCCCACCTGATGGAAGAGCGGCTGATGATGCAGCAACAACAGATGGAGGAGGATCAACGTTGGCTGGAGCAGGAGGAGCGCTTCCTGGTAAAAGACTCCATCTGTACTTACCTTCAAGTCCTCCCGAGGCCCCTGTCTCTCTCTTATGCTGTGCCCTCCTCTCCCCAGCTGAGACCCCCCCATCTCACTTATGCTGTGCCCTCCTCTCCCCAGCTGAGACCCCCCCATCTAACTTATGCTGTGCCCTCCTCTCCCCAGCTGAGACCCCCCCATCTCACTTATGCTGTGCCCTCCTCTCCCCAGCTGAGAGACCTCCCCCATCTCACTTATGCTATGTCTTCCTCTCCCCTGTATCTTGCACCTACGCAGAGTCCCCCCCAACACAGAGACCCTCTAGAGTTCACGGCTCTTTTTCGGTTTCCCAATGTTTGTCCTGGCATGCAGGCCTGTGCGCGTTTGTTTGTGTGTCGCTGGACGTCTCTGTCCTGCTGATGCACGATGAGGCTCTTTTCAAAACAGACCAATAAATCACCGTGGTACTGCACTGAACTCAGGACCAGTCACTCCAGCAAAGAAAGGAAGTGAATTGATGGGAACCATGTGAAACTGGCCCGCGAGCTGGACACGGGAGGAATTTGGCCGAGAAGTGGAAATAAACGCTTTTCCTACTGAGAATAATATTTTGAAAACCGCGAGCACTTTGTCAAAAGCAGTGAAAGGTTTACATCAAGCCACTTTTTCCAAACAAAACCCGAGAGCTCTGACAAAGAATGAGGGACATCCTGAACCTCATGAACTGACACTTTAATGAAATTGAAGACATTTGGTGCTTCTGGTGTGCCGATGGTGTGAGTCATTACGTGGCAGGGTTCCTATATTTTAATTTCTTAAATGAGAAGCTGCTTTGAATTGATATAGAAAAGCCTCTGCTTTGTAAGGGCAGTCCTGTGGAAAGATGGAGAAAAGCCATTTTGGACATAATCAACGCTAGTGTTTGGAGGAACATTCACTAGTGACTCTAAATCTAGCGGTCCTGATATGTGGAGGTCTGGCTTTACTGAAAGCATTTCTTAAGCTCTGTGACGCCAACGCAACATATGTGGAAGGAAGCAGCTCTCTGTGGAAGCTGTCACTGTCTCAGTAAGTTAAGGAGGTGTCTTCTCTGGCCTCATCGCTTCTCAGTTTGCGGGACGACTGGGGCGATCTTCGCTTTCTCGGTTATTAATCTCATAGTGGTCACACAGCTGTGTAGCTGACATTTGAAGATGCCTGGGCTCCCTAGATGTCACCAGGGGTTAGAAGGGAGAGAATTTGGCGTATGTGTGCTGCGGTTCCCGGCCGCCACTCTCAGCCAGACGGTGCCCAAAGGTGTAGCATTGGCTCGAATGCGGGTTTGTTCTCGGTGCCGTTCAAATACAAGGGCTGTGATTAAGAACGAGGATTAAGATACTGTTTAACACCTTCTGTGAGAGCGCGAGATTTAACCATTAAATCTGACCTGCTATTTAGTCGGAGGTTGACGTAGGAGAATGAGTGGGGAAACTGCAGGCTTTGTAGATGTGATTTGGGAGCGAGTGAGCGAACGGGGGGGGGAGGGAGAGAGAGGCGGTCCATATAAGCCTCGTCCTCCAGCTAGAAGCGGGGGTTTGCAGTCGACTCGTCTCACGCTGCTGATGGAATTAGTTACCGCCGCCTTCACTGTGCAGTGCCAGCTAAAGGCTACCAGGATGCAGGTCTTCAAGTCCTGCTTTGGGAAGCGGGTACGGAGGAGGGGTTTGGGCTGTGGGGTGGTTACTTATTTATAAACACAGGCTGCCCGGGCTTCTCGCTGAGCCGAGCGATCGGTGCGTAGAGGCTGCGACTCCCTGCTGAGCCCCAGCGAGCCGCCGGCTTGAGAGAATCGGGGAATCGGGACTTTTGTGATGAAGCAGATTCCAGCTCCGGGCCAGACGTGTGCCCGGACATGTTCCTCTCGGCTTGCTGCTGGAGAAGGGGGAGGGTTCTGCTTCTGCTTCTGCCCGGCGATGGCTGGCATCCGGCCCGAGCGATGGGCGCGAGGGCATGGCCCAGCATGCTGCCTCCATTCCGGCGTGCCGTCCTGCTCCATTTGCTCTGTGCTTGCCAGCTAATGGCCCCTCTCCTCTTCCCACCAGAAGCCAGAGTCCAGGAACTCCAGGGGCAGCATTGAGCGCGAGGAGGGTGGTCTTCAGGGCCCGGTGAGTCTCGCGCCCGCCATGGGCTCGGAAACCTGTTTCCTCCCTCTCCTGTCTCGCATGCACACACATGAACACATCAGCTCAAAGCAGGACGAGGAGGGGTAGCAGGTTCCGACACCTCAGTTCTGTGATGATAAACATCACTCCTGACTGCTGGGCTGTTCTCCACCATCTTTGTGATGATTCTGCTGATCGGTCACATTGATTTATTGTTATTCAGTAAAACTTGCCTGGGAACTAGAAAGATGGACTTGATTAAATGGGCTATTAATGAAAGTCTGATCTACTGGAATCAGCTTTCCAGTTCTTGCTGGGATGACAGAACGAAATGCAATCTGTTTTTTTTTTCTTTTTTTTTAAATCCGTTTTAAACTCTGGGTTGAGTGTTTCTTAGAAACAGAAGATGATTCAAAATTCTGATGTGCAGCGTAAGCTGCCAGTGTGAATGCTCCCCCGGCCAGCGGCCACGTTCTCCGATTCCGGAATTCAGGCTTGGACACCAAGGTGTTTATGGGAGCCTGCTTTAGGATTCCTGGGAAAAACTGCCCTGAAGGGAATTAAATCCGCTGCTAAGGAAATTTTAATGGCCCATTCCGAATGTTTGATTTGTCCTGAGTTAAGCTACGCACAGACACGTCACAGCTGGCTGATTGATTGTGTGCTTCCAACAGGCAGGGAACCAGCACATATACCAACCCGTAGGCAAACCAGGTAAGGATGTTCCGGGTCTTGCATGGGTCAGTTCCTTTTGGTGGTTGTTCTGACTGCAGTGCAGCTGTGACAGATAGATGGCGCCGGTGGGCCCTCTGCTCCAGGCCCACAATCTGCATTTCAGCATTTGCATTCAGTTATCTGTGTTTGCTCCCCGTTGATAGTTCCCTTGTCGTTCTGCCATGCAGAGCATGCAGCTCCCCCAAAGAAACCCCCCCGCCCGGGAGCACCGAGCCACCTGGGCAGCGTGGCCAGCCTCAACCCCGTGGACAGCTACAACGAAGGAGTCAAGGTAGAGGCCGCTCCGCAGCAGCGCCCCATCAGGCCGGCCTAAGAACGACAGATTCATGTCACACTTAACATGGCAACTTAGATTTTACTGCTATAAATGCTTGCCTGCATGTGGGTTCACAGATTCTTCCCCCTCCCCTTTTTTGCAAAGTTCCTTAAAATGTTCCATTTTTGCGTTCCCTTGGAGTTACGGCTCATTGCCTGTGTTAGACTTGTTCCCGCTTAGCTGAGCCCAAACTCGGCAGGCTCTGCAGCTAGGGAAACCCTCACGCCAGTGCCTGTGAGCCCGTTTACGAGTAACCCTGCTAGACTAGAGCTGCTCCCAGCCCTACTAGCAGGACGTGCAGGTCTCAGAGGAGAAGGCAGGCCCCTTCCCTGGGAAAATATTCATTTGACACAGAGGAGGAAGGCCCATGGGGCAGCTGGGAACCATTCCCCCGCCCCAGGCCTCAGTGGTCAGGACCCCAGTCCCCCAGGGACGTGCTCTCATCAGGAGATTTCAGCAAGCGGCGAAGTCATAGTCCCAGCTTACCAGTGGGAGCCAAGTTAAACTTCAGTGTAGTGTGGGGTCTCGTAGGATGTCCTTTTTAAGCACTGAACGAGGCCCCAGCAAGCTATGAAGACGGCATGAGCCGAAGTCGTGTGTTATTCTGAAGCAGAGCTTCCATCCAAAGCCACCAGTGATGGTGTGTAAGTCCACTTAGGTACATAACGCAGCTTGGTGTACTTTTATCTAATCTTAAAGACATGTCATTTTTATTTTTGGACAACATACATAACGTTAGAAGGCGCAAGTGAGCACACACACCGCGTCGAGGCGTCGATTGTGCGGAGCGCACGCTGCGGTGGGGCATGTGCTTACAGTGGAATTTGTTAGCTGCTGGTATTGGGCAGCGAGCTGGGCTGCCTCAGCTCCAAACCAGTGCATGAGTCCTGCCTGCTCTTACTGCAGATGCATGTGTGTGTTTTTGTGCTTGTGCCTAAATTAATTGTTTCTCCTTCTTCTGTTCCTGTGCACCCTCTTGTGTTCCCCTCTTTTTTTTGCCTCTGCCTCACTGTTGTTGAAACTTAGCCTTGGCGGGTAAGAACTCCATGTTTGTGTCAGTCTGTCTGGGCCACCTCAAGCCCCCGCCATTGGGGCTCTGTGTCGTAGCTTTAGGATGGGCACCCCTTTGCCCAGCACTAAGCTCTGTACCCCCTAGTCTTTTTCTTGTTTAATGAATCATGCAGCATTAAATTAAGTCTCTGTACAAGAGGGGCAGCTATGGGTGGTATCTCCCCCCCCCCCAGAGAGGGCTGTAGTGTCCCCCTTACTAACCTTAGTGCCTCACCTCTGTTGTCTTCTCCCTGGGCTGTGGTGGTCCCTGTTTGTGTGCGGACGTGACCCTCAGAGAGCCGTGTGAGGCTGTCAGGGCCACTCAACCTACCCCACACCGCTGAACGCAACTCTCTGATGACTCATGTTTGCACCCTTTGTCTGAGTCTTGTGTTTTTAAGTTGTGATTTCAACAACACAAAAATGCAAGGTGAAGATGATTCATCTCTGTAGTCTAGAAGTAATTCTATTAATCTATTAATGCATTAGAAAGTCATGAAAAATTCTGTCCTATCTTTTTTTTTTAATTTCTTGAGAGACCAACAATTTTGCAAATGGTGGAGACTGATTCTCCCAGAATCTCTGTGGTTCAGAAAAGTCACTGTTTACTTCTGGAAACTGGTAATTTCAACATACTGAACATTTTAGTAAAATCCATAAGTGTAGTATTTTTGGTCTTAGTTTGGCCCTGATCTAAATTTGACTTTTTGCGACATCTAGTGGTAGATAAAATAAATTGCAAGCCCTCACACTGCAGAACGTAAACAACCTTCTGCAATGTTTGGCATGATTGCTGGTACTCAGATTTCAGCTGTTCCTTCTCTGCTTCTCTGAATGATACCTGAAATCATGGCCAGCTTCAGTATTTTACACAGTAAATTGCCCACAAATTATAAACATCATCGTAAGCCTGGAGAACGACGAACCTCATTCATGGTGCTGACAGGTGTCTGTGTCCTCCTGCACAGATCCAGCCCCAGGAGATCAGTCCTCCACCCACGGCTAACCTAGACCGCTCCAACGATAAGGTGTATGAGAATGTCACGGGGCTGGTGAAAGCAGTCATCGAGATGTCCAGCAAGATCCAACCTGCTCCTCCAGAAGAGTACGTGCCTATGGTGAAGGTAGGTACGAGGACAAATATCGGCCGACTTTTCCCATCAGCACATCAGCGCCGTGCTGGGGAGACGCGTGAATCACTGTGCTGTCTGTGCAGGAGGTGGGGTTGGCACTGAGGACGCTGCTGGCCACTGTGGATGAGACCATACCCATACTCCCAGCCAGCACGCACAGAGAGGTGAGCACAGTGGGTAAATTTCCACATGGAAATTTCTGCCCAACAACTGATCTCAGTTCAGTTTTATGGCGGGTGACGTTCCCTACCTCCACACAGATTGAGATGGCTCAGAAGCTGCTGAACTCAGACCTGGCAGAGCTCATCAACAAGATGAAGCTGGCACAGCAGTACGTCATGACCAGCCTGCAGCAGGACTACAAGAAGCAGATGCTGACGGCCGCGCACGCCCTGGCCGTAGACGCCAAGAACCTGCTGGACGTCATCGACCAGGCGCGGCTCAAGATGATCAGTCAGCCTCGGCCACACTGATGCCAGGACGGAGGGCCCCGCGGTGGCGCGTCCCGCGTGCTGCCAGACTGCTCTGACCTTCGGGGGGCCAGCGGGCCGCATGCTGGGTGACCACCTCACACAAGGACCCTAAGCAGCAGGGAAACCGCGCGGCTTCGTCCCTCGCGCCCTTCCAAGAACACTTAAGACTCCTCATACTGATATCATGTTCCAGGACCTGTGAACACCTGTTACAGACTCATTCAGCTGCACCTTCCGGTTTACACCGACTGTCCTTTTATATCCAGAGACAAAGTCCAGTTCTAACAGTTCCCAGAAAAAAGGTTTATGGAAAAAGCAACTGGAATCCTGGCTAGAGAAAGGAGAGTTCTGGGAAACCCAAAGGTTGAGAATTCTTCACATTAATCACACTGCAGCTTCCTTCAGTGTATCATTGTAATGATCAGTGCGCTTATCCCACCACCATCAATGCAGAATCATAAATATATATTTTGGAGGTTCACTACATTTTTTTTCCAGCTGATATATAAGCTTGGGGGGTAAATCTCTGAAGCGACAAATAAACTGAAAGTGGAAAAGTAAATATTCTGCTTGTCTTTTTTGAATTAGAAACAATGTGACACTTTTGTAGTTGGATAATAGTTAAGTATGAAGAATTTAAAGCCACAAAGTAAATGTTACATAGAGGGGTATGTCACAGTGGTGTGGGGATCCATGCGTTAAACGGTCAGAGACTTTTTATATTGTCATGTTTACTTTTACACGTCCTTCCTCCCCACATCGTCTTTAGCCAGCTGGTCTAAGGAAGAGATTTTGTTTTACCCCAGCTACAGTATGTTTGTTACATTAATCTGCTTTTGGGTATAAATTATTCTCAGGAAGAATGGCCTGTACAGTTCCTTGAATTAATAAAAAGATTTATCATTAAGTTCTGTCTCCAAGGATTATTTCCCATTCCAGTATAGGGTCACGAGAAGCACAAGGCGAAGGAGAGGATGCCAGCCTATCGAGGGGCACAGATGCGCTCTTGGTAATTGAGACCTCATTTTCCCAAGCAGCATATTCCTGGGTAGTGCTGTGGCTCTGCAGGTTGGGACACTGTAGCTGTGACCAAAAGGTTGTTGGTTTGAATCCCACAACAGGCACTTTCGTCAGCAACAAGCCCTCGAGCATGGCCCTTAAGGCCGATCACTCCAAGGGCACCAACTGACCCTTGCCTGTCACTTTGGACAAAAGCACCAGCCAAACGTACAAGGTTTTGGACAGAGACCTACCAAGCCAGCAGTCCTGGAGATGAGGCTACAGCACTAAGTCACAAAGCACCTTGGGTTGGATTTCCAATGATGATTCTACAGGAATTTGTGACAGACTGGGGCGACATGCTTCTCAGAATATCAACATCAGACCTATCCTCACCGGAGGTCTATATTCTTTCCAAGCTGGTAGTCTGGGTTAAATTGAGTTTTTTTGTTCACTTACATTTGACCTGGATAGTAACCTGCCATTTTGTAACCAATACTGAAAAATGCACTTTGACTAAGTATGATGACAAAATATCAGTTTGACTGAATCTCACAAAACCCATATTAACAAGATTTATAAACTATCAGATGACATTCAAATACTGCAAGTGACATATAGCATCCCAAACATAATTGGCAATTTCCCATCCTTGATGAGATGCCTAGGAAAACTCACTGGTGACGATTCCAATGTCTCATTTACAAGTGAGATTAAGGCGGAAATAAATATTGTCTCACACCCCCAAACAAGACCAGCTCAACAGAAAGGGCAAATTTAACAACCCACTTTCATGCAAAGCAACTCAGGCTAATGTACTCATTAATACCACCAATCGCCCATGTACATCCTAAACCCCACCATCTACTGATCTGCTACCATCTCAGGTCCTAAGCCTCCAATGTCTGCCCCCAAACGAGATCAGGCTTTTATAAACAGGATTGACGTTGCTGCTACAAGAATCCAACAAGTTCCCAGAAACAGGCTCATTTTTCCAATTTATTTCTGAATGTTTTACAAAAACCACTTTAGTCAAAGAGGCCAAAGCCCATGTCATCGTCAGACTCTTCAGACTCCTCCTTCTTCTCTTCTTTCTTTTCCTCCTCAGCTGTAACAAAAGCAGACTGTGTGAGAACCTTCAGTGGTGGGGAGGGCATCTTCTAGGGGGGGGGGATGGTGTTTGGGTCCTTACCTGGGGCTGCCGCTGCCGCGGCGGGGGCTCCTGCAGCAGGGGCAGCGGGGGCTCCGCCACCGGCCCCCACGTTGCAGATGAGGCTGCCGATGTCCACGCTGGACAAGGCCTGTAACAGGGTCAGTAGTTAGTCCTGCTGCTCTAACATTAATACATCCTCATCCCTAGATCACAGAGTCTGCATTTTAATAAACTGCATAATCAATCAAATAACTCAAAAAGACCAAGTTACTAAACTAAATCATCATCATCATCATCATAAATACAAGTGTCAAAACTTGCACTGAACGCCAAATCCATCCTTTCACTTTCATCTTGAAAGATGAGCAGAATTTCCTCTCACAAACTAGATGAATGACAGGTTACCCAGACTGGGCACATGAGACTACAAACACAGGATTAGAGTTAAACCTCGCTGATTACTGAATCATCCAGATAAACTCTAAGACGCGCCGTACACGCTGCTCACACGCATGCGGCGGGCTTAGTGGCACACGTTCACGGCGCAGCTTCCCTCCACATGCCCGCCGGTGCCCACTCACCTTGGCAAACAGACCGGGCCAGAACGGCTCGACAGTCACGCCGGCGGCCTTGATCAGGGCATTCAGCTTGTCCTCCTGCAAGTCCGAAGACACAATCACGTCAGGTACAAGCTTACTTATGCCGGATATGTCTGCGGCCAACCATGTACTACCAGCTGGATATTATCGACATAAAAAGAAGACAGGGACGCGTTCTTGACGTAAAGCATGTCGCTTAAGGTGCTGTAGGTTAAACTTCGCCAACTACGATGAGCTTGACTAACAATAATGACAGCGGATCAAAACGGATCTGATGAACTATTACTGAACTAACCGGCAGACCCGATCTGTTATGCTGTCCAATTTCACCATCCGACATGAGTGCATGTAAACGTAAACTCCATGCAGCTCCATGTTTACACTTAGGCAGTAAAACAAGCAAGACGAGCGCCTTTTTCCGCCATGTTGTATTGCCATGAAAGACCGGCGGGAGGGCTTACCGTGACGGTAACTTCATCGTCGTGGAGGATGAGAGCAGAGTAAATACAGGCGAGTTCTGAGACGGTGGCCATTTTGCTTTCAAGAAGTTATATTTTGGGCGAAGGATGCCTAATTTTCGTGGTGCTAGTCGCCGGATTCAGAGGCCTTAGCTTCGTCAGAAGAACCGAGCACCTTAGGCACGTTTCCCAGAGCTTCTGTCTTGACGGAAAGAGGGTGGAGGAGGGCGGGGCATTTTTATTTATATCACAAATGACATCATGTTACGTTCTACGTCATTTCCAACGTGGCCCATGTGATTGAGGCGTATATCAACCCAACCCAGTTCCAACCTATTTCCAACCCAGTTCCCAGTGGAACACGCACCCGGTTAGATGACATAATCTAGCTGAGAAGGTTAGCTTTCGATTTCATTGGCTGACAGTTGTGAACTTGAAATCGAGCGGCAATTTCTGGGGTTATTTGTCCTTTTCTTAAAAATTACATTAAAGAGTTTCTTTCACGAGTAACAGTAGACCCAATGGTTTCCTTATAATGGACATTTTCATTCATAAATATATTTTTGTTAGCAGTTATTTGTGCTAGAAGAGTATAGTCATAGGACCATAATCACACCCCAGCCAGTCAGGAAATTCATATTTGTTTTATGAGCTACAGTAAGTCTTTAATAGGCTTATGATGGGGAGCTCCATTTTTCTAACTAATTATTTAATTGCTTGATTGATTGTTTTTTTAAATTATTTAATTCACGTTTTATTAAATTAATTTTGTCACAAGAAGCGTTCCATACCATTTACATATCAATATATATAGTTATATATCTTCCAGACGGCCAGTCTCAAACACCTCACCTACTGTACGTGTCCCGAAGTCGGAGCTAGCGTTTGAGCAAGCCGCGGGTAGGCTATCCTTTCAGTAAATGGTTCCCCAAATATTAACTGCAGCCTCGTATCGACTTACGCTCGCATTTGGGATCGGGACCAATGGATGCAAGACAATTTGGGCGTATCTAGATAGTTGTATGGGTGGCGTAAGATATTAAGTACAGTACTGTAAGTAACATGTTATGTAAGGAAATTGCGCAGTACAGGTTATGTAGCATACCTGCTTATTCCAGCTGTCCATCACATATACAGTACATTGATGTATTCATACAGCATTAAATATTAGATAAGGACAGAGGGTCATTATAGGGCTGGCAGGGGCTGCTCATTCCTGCTCCTGAACATCTAGCATCCTGCAGAGCTTAGGTGAAACCCTAATTTAGCAAATCTGGTCCAAGATAATCAGGTCCTTCGGTAGCATACATTAGGTCGCGGGATAAACATTTATTGAACAGACTAAAATTAACGTTTTTTGCACATAAAGATGAATCGAAACAAACAGGATACAATATTATTCCAAAACAAATAAACTTAAAATAATTAAAAATATTTTGCTCTCCATTAAAATATCTCCTGTCAAAATTATGCAAATTCAAAATATTAATATGCTGCAAAAAAACCTGAAAATATAAATAAATAATGTGCTTTTAATTGAAAGTTAAAATAATAACAAATCAAAACATTTTCTTTGCTCTTATGCCATTTGGTCAGAGCTGGATGCTTGGCATCTTTCCTTGGCAACAAGTTCGTTTATGTTTGGGGTAAGGTTCTGTGTTGTGGAGATTCTCTCTTAGCCACATTAGCTCCACAAACAACACACACGGGTTTACCGGCAATGTCAGTAAACATATACTCCCATCGGTTTTGAAAGGCTCTGTTTTCAGAATCAACTTTTCTCTTGGCTATTGTTTGGGGCTAGCTTTGACTTGAAATTAGGGTTGTATACATCAACAGACGCTTGATTGATCTGACGTAATTGACGCGGGAATGGTCGCAGATAGCCTATCGTTCGGTAAGGAAGCTGTTGCGCTGTATTATGGGATTTGTAGTTTGTGTGTTTTCGGCGCTTCATATCGTCGGGCCATTAAAAAAAGATATACAAAATGATCTTGCGGGCCGGGTATTGTACGCCGGACGGATGTGGCCCGCGGGCCTTCAGTTTGACACGTGTTGTAGATGAAAATATGAATACATTTTATACAGTATCTGCTTTAGAGGAGTAGAATTTCCAAAGTGGTTCTTTCATTCAACGATAAACATACTTATTTGTTCAATCGGTAATTAGATAGTTAAAAAAAAATTCAAAGAAAATAAAATAAATTGTAATAATTCCAAAACAACAAGAAAAACATTATGTGGTGGTGGGTAGACGTGTTGTAAAACCAGTTTAGAAAAACATCACTTATCAAACACTCAGGAGCCAGGCAACCTGTCACCTGACACAGTTGGAAAATATACATTTCCTGGAGGGTGGTATGAAACTGGAAGTTGCCTAATGTGTAATTACAAATTATATTACAGTAAGGGGCGTGGATACGCCACCGATCTGTAACGTTAAGTGCTGATGTAGCGGAGGGCGAAGATGGCACACAGCGGCAGGGCGAGGAGAAGCGTGTGCAGACGGGCAGGCGTGGCTCCGCTGTAGTTACACAGATCAGAACTGCAGCAGGTGATCGCGGTCGCTCCGCTGCCCGTGACTGAGGCGGTAGAGGCGGCTGCCGAGCAGATATTGCCGCTGGTGCATTGCTTCACTATGGCCATGACATTTCCTGCAGGGCACAGGGAGCCCCAAGACATTTACATCCATCCAAGCAGGTCTGATGGTGACTGGTGTGTGATTTCGGTGAGATTCTCACCTGCAGTGACCACTGTGCTCATGCAGGTGTCGAGAGGCGCCTGGCAGGTGTCCGTGTTCAGGTTACACTTACTGTTAGTCGTTGTGGAGCTGCACACGTAGCAGATCAGCCCATCTGGACAAAATTAGCATACTACACATAGCATTTATGACTCATTTAATGTCCACACCCTTCCAAACATTTCCTCCAGTGTCAAATATGGCAAAGCAAAGCAACATTGACAAACAGCTAACTGAACATTTCACATTACATTCATGTGAACCCAGCCACTTGAGCAGCATACCAGAAACCTTTCACCCCTGATTCCATGAAAGAGGAACCAACATTTGGTTTCAGTTTATCATTGAAGAAATTCATAATGATTCAAAGGAGTGCTTTGAATTTGGCCATTTTCACAAGGCAGACAATGTTCCAGGAGCTGCTCAGAATGATCATTGTCTGATTGGCACCAAGAGTTTGAACCTAAGCAGTTATGAAATTAACTAAGCAGTTATGAAATTAAACTTATTTCCATTTGCAAGAACTCTTGGGCTAGTAGAGTGTCAACCTGCTATATATCTATAAATCCATGGACAGAACAATGTGCTTTGAATGAACGACTGACTAATAATTTTAATATGTGCAAAATGTGGACCATATTACACCTGTTCGTTTTGGAATTACAGTGATTTTACAGCCCTGAAGAAATATGTGTAAGTATGCACTGAGATTTCAGGTGACAATTGTGTACTTGTAAAGTTTCTAAAGTGTGAATTGCCTAAAATACAAAACTACACTGGTGCTTATAAACGGACTTAAATTCTAGCCTCCTGAGATCCAACTCATTCATTTATGTCCATTGTAGTGGACATTTTGTTTTTGCATCTGTCTTTTCACTGATGTAAGAAAACATATTTATTCCTGTTGTACACTAAGGAGGACATGCTGTTAAAGTAAAAATAAAAATAAATTAGAAAAAATCTAAATTGTAAGATGTCTTATTTCCTCCAAAGACATAGAAAATCACAAATAACCTAAAATTGAAGGACACTTTTTTTCCTTGGGTCTCAGGAGGTTAGACAAAGAAATGTGACGTACCTGCAGAACTGACCCAGCAAAGCAGCAGGAGAATCAGCAGAGTCCTCATGCTTTGTAGTAGGTGCTGCTCACACTCAGTGACTCCCTGTCAGACAGAAAGTGACTTGTTCCTATGAAGATACACCTGAGGAAAAAGAAAAGTGTTTTTAAGTGGAACAGGACCCACCTTCCTTGCTACCTGTGGTAGAAATGGACTTGGAAGGAAGTCTTGACCTTAAAAGAACTGAGAAATCCCTGGACTTACCGCTCAGCTGAGGAATATCAACAACATTGTGGCATTTCCTCAGTCAATTAGCTCGCCCTGGGGCGTGTATCACAAAGCTGGATTTCTTGTTTAGCCAGATAAATGATCAGATTTAAAGTACACTGGGCTAAATGAAAATGAACAAAGATAAAGTCCATGTAGTCCAGAATAACTTAAACCTGACAAGTTATCAGGCTAAACAAGAAATCCAGGCTTTGAGATTCAGGTCCTGGTTCCTTACCAAGATTTCTGGTCAATGAACAAACAGAACAGTAATTTATCTGTCATACCTGGGTAGTAACATCATTTTCATTATTACTATTGTTTTTGCTGTTGCTGATGTTATGTTCAGCATCGCATGCTGATGTAATGTTTTGCCTTTTCATGTCTTCTTTGTGTTTTGCAGTGAATAGGATTTATAGAATTATATTCCTGATGATCCAGAAAAACTAGCTTGGACTGATGCATTATACTGTATGTGTCCCATCCATTTACTTTTCCTTAAATTACTACATTATAGAGTATTAAACTTAAAATGAAAGTGTAAATTAGTAGTATTAGTAAATAATATTGTTTTTCTTGTTAGCTTTAGGGATGGTTGAGAACAATTTGATTTCAACTACAGATTTGACTCCTCTCATTGTTCTGCTTGCTTAACTACTGTCAGAGTGCATTACCATTAAAAGCTGATGGAATACAACATATGAAATGAGACTGTATTATCGCGTTTGTTGCTAGGTAACGGCAGGAAAAATAAATGACAGATAAGCGGCAGCATTTGTCTGGGTTTTCAGGAAATTCAAGGCACTTATGCCCATGTGGGTTACTTGATGTAATTCCTGGTTGATAACAGAGTGAGGTGTTTCACAATGGGGGTCAGGGCCACTGGACGGTAGTCGTTCAAGGTCCAGACCGCCGCCTGTTTAGGGACAGGGATGATGGTGGCAGACTTGAAGTAGGTAGGGATGGTGGCCTGTTTCAGGGAGATGTTGAACAGGCTGGTGAGGACTGCAGACAGCTGACTTGCACAGTGCTTCAGCACTCGTCCAGGGACACCGTCAGGTCCAGCTGCTTTGTTGGTGTTGATGTGCCTGAGGGCTCTTTCGACCTCATGTGGGCTGAACACCAGGGTGTTCAGGGGGTCCTCCTGCACAGTCAGCCTGGTATGATGGTGGTTGGTGCCCTTGTCAAACCATACGAAGAACTGGTTCAGATCGTCAGGTAGGGATGAGGTCGCTGTGCTGGTTTGATGGGTGTTGCTGCTTTTATAGTCGGTAATTGACCTGATTCCCTGCCGTATGCGCCGGGGGTCAGAGTTGTTGCTGAAGTGCTCCTCAATTTTATTTTTGTAGGAGCGCTTCGCCTCTCTGATGCCTCTCCTCAGGTTGGACCTGGCTGTTGAGTAGACTTCTCGGTCGCCGGTGCGGAAAGCCTCATCATGTGACTTCAGCAGCTTTTGAACTTCCCTGTTCATCCATGGTTTGCGGTTGGGGAATGTGCGTATGACCTTGGAAGTGGTAACAGTGTCCATGCAGAAGTTTATGTAGGACACAACAGAGGATGCGTATACGTTGGTGGGCTGTCCTGTGTGGACTCCAGTTTGAACAAATCCCAATCTGTGTTGTCAAAACAGTCCTGTAGTCTGGTCATGGCTCCTTCGGGCCAGACTCTGATGGTCTGTACGGTGGTCTTTGTTCTGGCAATGAGGGGTTTGTATGTGGGAGTCAGGAACAAAGAGATGTGATCAGACTGACCAATGTGGGGGGAGGGGGCTTTGTAAGCGTTTGCGATATTACAGTACACGTGATCCAGCGTATTATTTCGTCTGGTTGGAAAAACAACAAACTGGTGGAATCTGGGTAGCACAGTTTTTAGGTTGACGTGATTAAAGTCTCCTGCAAGCTCCGGGCCGCTGCATCTGTGCCCGCCGCCATCTTGTCCACATGTAAGGCCCGAGCTGGGCACAAAGTGTTTAGCTTCTGTTCCTCAGCAGAGGAAAAAGGAGGGGGGTGGGAAGCTGTCAGTCCCACCGTAGAGCACCTGTAGGTCGAGTCCACGACCTTAGGCACAAAAGTAGGATTAGGATGCAGGCACACTTTGGTAAGTCCCGGACCAAACTGCAAACAAGAAGAGTGGACAGACAGCGCCTGCAAATCGCTCACTTGCTTTGCTGTAGTCAAAGCTAAAAGCAGCGCTGTCTTAAGAGAGAGATATTTCAACCCCACCCCGTCCAAAGGCTCAAAAGGGTGATGAGACAAGGCGTCTAACACCATAGACAGATCCCACAATAGGACTGACGGCTTAGAAACTGGGTGTTTCCGGCGGGCGCCCTTCATGAAACGGCAGATTGGGGGATGCTGTCCAGCCGGCTTCTCACCAAAACCCACGTGACAGGCTGAAATCGCAGCCAGATACACTTTAATTGTGGAAAAGGTTTTCCCTTTTTCCAACAAATCCTGCAGAAAACAGAGGATTTCCACCACTGAACACTGAAAAGGAACAGTCGGTCTCAGCCCTCACCAATCCTCAAACACTCGCCATTTTCTGCTGTAAAACGAACAAGTGGAAAAAGCCCTGGCACTCTGTATAGCGTCAATGACCGGTGGGGGCAGGCCTGCAGCGTTCAGGTTCTACCGCTCACGGGCCAAGCCCAGAGAGCTATGTTGTCTGGGTGGGGATGGTAGATCTCCCCTCTCGTCTGTGACAGGAGATCTCGGTGTGGTGGGAGGGGCCACGGCTGACCCTTCACCCAGTGCTTAGGTGGTCAGTGTGGGGCTACCAGAACCAACGACAAACCCTGCTTCCTTACCCTGGCTAATGTGGAGGAAATTAGATTCAGGGGAGGGAACGCATAGAGGAGGACGTTTGGCCATGGGTGGGCTAGAGCATCCACACCCAATGGTGCAATTTCTTCCCACGGGGAAAAGTTCAGTGAGTGTTTTCCTGCGAGGCGAAGAGATCTACGGTTGCCCGTGCGAATCTCTGCCATATCTGCTCTACTACCTGAGGGTGAAGCCGCCACTCTCCATAGGGGGGGTCTCCTCTGGACAGCAGGTCTGCCCCCCTGTTCAGGACACCCGGCACATGTGTCGCACGGAGAGACTAGAGCCGGGTGCTGCACCACGCGATCAGATTCCTGGCTAATTGGTGCAGCCGGAGAGAGCGAGTGCCACCCTGACGATTGACGTAGGCCACCACTGTTGAATTGTCCGATTTCACCAGAACATGCTGACCCTGGAGAAAACCCAGGAAGTGTTTAAGTGCTAGAAACACTGCAAGCAGTTCCAAATAGTTTATGTGCTGTGCTGGGGGGGCCACACGCCATTCACAGCCTTGCCCACCATGGTTGCACCCCACCCCGACTGGGACGCATCTGTAGTCAGTATCACTCTTGAGGACCCCCCCCTAAAGGGATGCCCGACTCGAGAGCCCCCCTGGCACACCACTGGCGAAGCGCCTTCACACACGCTGGTGTCACCTTCACCGGCCGGTTGAGATGACGGCGAGGGCAAAGGCCTAATTGCGCCACCCAACGCTGAAAGTCCCTCATCATGAGATGCACCACAGATATCACTGATGCCATTAGCCCCAGCAGATGTAGGCAGAGTATTTATGAAACCCCTTTCCCTAACTGAAAGCGGCCATCTCGTCCTCTAGGACCTGAGCTGAATCACCAACGGCTACAGAAACACACCATTGAACCTGGGTGGCCTCATAGCAAACTGCAGCCTGTAGCCTGTAACCATGGGTGCACAACACATGAGCGCCACTTCATTACCTAAGCAGACTGCAGCCCCTTGAAAAGTCCTGCATCAGTGGCACCTGGTGATGACGTCACCCCCACCCCGGCGGAAGAGAAACTCCAGACTGAGGAGCAAGAGCTCCCCCTGGTGATGGAGTTCAGCAAAGATTTTTTTTATATCTTTTATTTTGAACAGTGGGCTTTGGCCCTTGGCTTTGAGCCTGTCTGCAACAATCCATACTTTATTTTTGTTTCCCCTGAACAGTGCTTGGTCACACTTTGCACAGAACTCTCGCTCTCCTGAACTCGAGGAGACCTTACAGTGGAGACCCCCCTGAACAAGCAGAACACAAGGGTTGTCTGCCCCCAACCTCATCCTCTTTGAAGGGGTGGGTCCAAGCAGGCATCATGGGGCGGACGGTTCCTTGCTGTGACAGCTGCAGAGGAGGGCTTCCCCTACGGCCCTGGGTTAGCCGCCCTTGGCTGCTGAGCCGCCTGCTGTCCACCTGGAGCCTCAAAAGCCTCATCCTCCTGCTTCCTGAGGGAGCTGGTTTCTCTCATTTTATCCAGGGTTTGACCTGCCCCAGCTCCACCATCACCTGGATTTTCAGCTTAGAGTAGCCCTTGGTGGCAAGCTTGCTCTTAAAATGGCTGGACCAGTAGCGACGCATCTCCTTCATGCAAGCCCAAACTGCAGGAAGGAGTTGACGTGCTGAGGGCTGCACAGGTGGGAGCCTCTTCCCATCGTACAGATCCCTCTCTGCCCCCCCAGGGTATACCCAGCTTAACTGCTGCCCGCTTGTGACCTCATACAGGTTACAGTCTACCTGGGTACCTGCATCTGTCGTGCTAGGGGGTCGGGACTGATGGGCAGGGAAGGTGGAGTCATCCTCCTCCTCTTCCTCTATATCACCCATATCGAGGAGGTCAGAGTTGGCCTCGCCCTCTGCATCCTCATCACCCGGTTCTCCGGCCTCTAGGGAGGGCGAACCCTCAAACAGAGGAGGCAAGTCTGGGGATTCAGTCTCCATCAAATCCGCCCAGCTCGTAGTAGCTCGCAGGAGATGGGTAATAGTGGCCTGGGGAGTGGCTTTGGTCGCTCCTGGGGCCTGTTTGTTAGCCACGGCCACTCTCAGCCTCCGCTCCTGGATTTTCTCTGGCATCGACGTACAGTGGATGCAAGTCTGCGTGTTCACCTTCAATGCCTGAGCATGACTAGCGCCCATGCACACTATGCAGAGAGGGTGAGGATCCCTGCCTGAGACTGTGGCTCCGCATGACGCGGGACATGGGCGGGATGAGGTTTCACCCTCTTTTTCCTCATGCCCTTTGGCGGGGGTAATGGCCGTCAACATAGCGAGCTGGGGGGAAGGAGGCAGACAGCGGGAAAGCGTAGAACCTAAAAATACTTGACATATTAGTCTGTCGACACGTTAGTCTTTCGGTTCGTTGCTTATCTGGATGGGCTGAAGAGGTCGTCTGCAAGGAGAGTCACTCAGAGAGCACAAAATGTCGGTTAAATATAATTATATATTTGCGCTGGAGTGGCTTGATGGATAGCTCACCTTGACGCGATTGCCAATCTGGCAATGCTGACCAAACAGCGAGAATAACTTTCTTGACGTGGGAATTCAGCACTAGAGCCAAAATCGCGTTCGTCGCCGGACTGCAAAGACGGGCCGTCTATGAAAGGTTAAGCGAGATCAGCTTAATAGCTTGGCTGAGGGGGCTTGTAATTCCTCACAGGAAGAAAGCGCAAATGAACCATCAGGGAGGTCGACCGCATTAGTAGTGCAGGGGCGGAAAAAGTTCAGGATGCGACTGCTCCAATGAAAAAATTGTGCACCGGATACAATTTGGGATGAACTCGGGATACATCGTTTCTAACAGGTTGGTAAAATCCAATTTATCAATGTTAAATCATTTTGCTTTATTAATTTCGTATTTATATATTTAGCTCACAAATGGTGCTACTGTATTAATGTTCTCGGGTGTCATTATGCTTCCAGACCACAGGAGGGCGTGTCTTTTATCACAAACTTGCCTGTGTAAGCTGTTGCGTGAAAATAAAGCTTTCTTTTATATATGGGTTTGTGAAAGTAAAATATGGTTCCTTGCTCACTACGGGCCTTTCGTAACTCAGCAAAAGACAAAATGCATTTTGTGGTTCCGCAAAGGTATTCCGTCATTGAATCAGTTTCCTGCACTAAAACTCTGTATCATTCATGAACTACATTTCGTCTACAAAAATGACTCCCTATCACTCACAAAATGCATTTTGTGCACAAAGCCAATTTATTTAGTTAATAAATAAATGATTTTTTTTTGTGGCACAGATTGTATTTTGTGCATGAAAATGAGTGCTTGACACTTGGCACCCCATAGTCAGAGAGGGTAAGATTTTAAATCGATTATGCAGTCATGATTAAATAGTGTTTCGATCCTCCTGCTGAGTACAGACGATTAAATATACATGTGATATATGCCAATAATCGCCAAGGTGAAAATAAATAGTTAAAAATGATTTTACATTCCTTCTTATAACACAACACACTCTTTTCTTGTTGCCATCGAGCATTTTTGAAAACATTGAAATTAAGCTTGTAATTGCTGGGAAATAGTATTTCTCTTTAAAACAGAGGGTACGTTGTACATTTCTAACGAGGATGACTATAGACACATGGATAATAGGTCTTTGCTAAGAGTCATCCTTGCTGGGTGTTTATTTTCTAGTGTGCATCACTTACATTATATCTAAATGTAAAGGTAAACATCTGCATGCACCATTAAGAAATCAATCATGCTCCAAAAGTGACATATCAGACTTGTGAGAAAGTAATTCAATTAGTACGGACAATTAATAAAGGTTGTTCTGCTTCTTCTGATCAGTAAAATCTATAGGATGTTGGCCATTTGCAAGAAGGAACGTCGAGAATTGATTAATGATATTTGTGTATAAGTATAAATATTTCCTTTTCATATCTATCAGAGTGTCTCAGGTCTTGTGATCTTATTGGCCGCTGTTTTCTGTGCTCTACGGTCATTGGCTCAGGGGTGTGAATTGGGGGGCCAGCACAGGCAGCAGCGCAGCAGGATCTTGCACAGGTAGCGGTCGGCTCTGCGCCTTAGCCAGGATGAAGACGAGCGTGTTCATGATGCTGTTGCTCATGGCGATGCACTCAACAGGTAGTAGAGGGATATGGAGTGAGTGACACACAACAGCAGCCTGGGAATGAAATCCCGGATGATGGTGTAGCTGTAGTAGGGGCCCAGCACAGCACAAACGTGGCCAGGATCCCCAGCAGCACCAGCATTGTCCTTCAACGAGCCCTCAGCTGGCCCTGGCCCTGCAGCGTCTGGACTCCTGGAAGATGCATGAACCCGGGTCTTTGCACAGAACTGTGTATGTATGACATGTATATATGCATGTACAGTAAAACCGGTCTAAGTCGACACTCGCGGGACCAGCTTAAAAGTGACGACTTAGAGAATTGACGAGATACACCTAAGTCGACACTTTGGCGACTTATGTCTATCTCGCCGTTTTGTCGACTAGTAAATATAACACGCCGTTTTGCCGACTTATAAAATCGACACTTCGGCGACTTATGTCTATCTCGCCGTTTTGCCGACTAGTAAATATAACACCATACCTCTACTACACCGCACTATACACGCGACACTTAAGACCAGGGAGCGACTAATGCGATAGGTGGGGATTCCCCGTTTCTACAATGCCGTGGTGACAAGCAGGCGGTGTGAAGCAGGCGGCGGGAATGCAGCGATTGGGGTGTCGACTTACAGGTAGGAAAATCCGTTCATTTGTGTTGTTCGGGACCGGGATATAGGTGACGACTAAGGGAATTTGACGACTTACAAACAGAAACTTACACAAGGAATTTTAAAGGAAACATCATTAGGAAAAATCGGGACTTTTGCTTGAGCGTCGACTTGTGCACATTGACGAGTTACAAGCCGGCGACTTAGACCAGTTTTACTGTACATGTATGTACAACCATGGACAAAATTAAGAGACCACAGCACATTTTTTGTTTCACTCATTTTTCACTTCGTAGGTGTGCGTCTGTGCATAATATATATATTTATTGCAGACTGCACCTGGGACTTCAGTCCTGCTTCTAGGAGCCTGATACAAGCTGTCCTAGCAGTGCACTTCATTGTCAGGGTCAATGCCTGTCCACCCCTGCCATTTGACCAGCAGGTGTCGCTGGCTATCCCCCTGTCTGATAACACTTCTATATTTCCCCTGTTCCTTGAGTGCTGCATAGCTTGGTGGGTTGAGCTTGTGACTTGGAGTCTATGAACTCCTTGGTTGTGGGTTTGAGACTGCGTAGAGACAAGCTTCACCTGTATTCATCATGTTTTGGTTTCCCTACTGTGTATTATCTATCATTGCTTCCCTGTTGTAGGATTTCCCTCCTCCTGCTGTCTAAATATGTTTTGTATATTGTTATGGTCCTAGTTGTCCTAGTAAAGTTAACCTTTAGTATTTGTTATGTTTCCTAGTCTTTGTGTTTGCTATGTTTCATAGTTTCTTTATTAGTTGTGAATTCCACCTATTGCTCATTGTCCTGTGCTTTCATTGATTGGTTAATTTGGGTATTGTTCTCACCTGTCCTGCATTATGTCTATTTAGTCTTGTATATATTTAAATGCCTGCTCACTCTGTTCTCTAGTCAGTCATCGTTCAAGCTACTGTGTGCTGTAAATCAAGGCTTTTCTAGCTTGTGCCCTTTGTTGCTCTCTTTCCTATATATAGTTGTTACCGTTTGGTATTTTTGTAGCTAGATCTTGTTCTTTCCTTTTGCTTTTAACCCCACGTGGTGCTTTTATTTTGTGGTTTACCCATTTGGTGTTCTGTTTTGTTTAATAAAACTCCTTTTGTCTTGTAACCATAACTGGATCATTGTTTTTATTTGGGTCTTTTTTTGTGGTGCGATCTTGTGATTTTTCTTTGCGAATGTCACGACGGACCGGCCCGACAGTACACCGGCGGTGAAGCGGAGCAGAAAAAGGGCGCCTTACTAAGTAAAAGGAGATGGTTTTTTCTTTGTGCTTTAATTAGTACCTGGCTGATTAGGGCACAAAGTTTGTCAATATTTTGTTGTACTTGTGTAATTTTAAATGCCTCTATTTGAGTTTTAAACTTTATTAGTGTTATTTTGGATCGATGCTCTGTACTCCTGCCTTGCCTTAATTTCAGGTATTCCCTATAACTTAATTCAGTAACTAAGTGTGCTTCATGGAGGTTTTCACGTCGTTTTCACAACTTCTAAAAAAATCATCTGTGATACAACCATGACAGATGTCTGTCTGAGGAATCTATCTGTTCTCAGCAATGAGGAGCCGTGCGCAAAAGCACTTTATATAGATATATTTGTGAAATGTTCTGCTGCCACCACAACAGCCATCACCTTCAGCTGTCGAAAAAATGCAGTGAGACACGACCACATGGGTAGTGCAGAGCAAGCAAGAGCTGCAGAGTTTTTTTGCACCAACACTATGTTGTTCCTTTTGTTGATTATTAAGATAAACTTCAAATTCAAAAGCACTGCTGGGCACAAGTGACATTTTGGTGTGGGGATTACACTTGTTCTGCAAATGTTAATTGTCATTTAAGAAATGCTCCTAAGTAATAGAGAATAACTGTAAATACAGATTAGGGACGATATTCAGTAGACTGGTCCTTGACAAATTTCAGTAATGCCATCTTTGATTTTGTACACATTTTTATTGAGGATGGGATGGAACTGTAAGCTGACTGACAGTGTATCACCATAAGGGGCATGGATATGTCAAGCGCTGACATAGCAGAGGGCAGAGATGACACACAGCGGCAGGACCAGAAGCAGCGTGTGCAGACGGGCAGTCGTGGCTCCGCTGAAGTTACACAGATCAGTGCTGCAGCAGGTGACCATGGCCGGCTTATCTTCGGTGAATAGCTGGGTGATGAAGGCTATGGAGGCTCTGAAGGATACCTTTTCACATTCATCGTAGGTGGTGCATGTCTTTAGTATTATCTTGGGATAACCTGGAGGGCACAGGGACCCCCAAACCATTTACATCCAGCCCAGCAGGCCTGATGGTGACTGGTGTGTGATTTCGGCGAGATTCTCACCGGTCTTTGGCACGATGGTCATGCAGGTGCCCCCAAAAAGATGGCAGGGTTCCGTTTTCTGGTTACAGATGGTGTTATTCGTGTCCGCACATGAATAGCATTTCAGCCCATCTGCTGTGGCCAAAAGGAGTAATTAGCATGCTGACTCATTTAATATCCACACCCTTCCAGACATGTTCCCCGATATTAAATATGGCAAAATAAAGCAACAGTGACAGATAACTAACTGAACATTTCACGTTACACTGATGGAAACCTATGGTCTTGCTGCCCATGGAAAACCAGCCACTTCACCAGCACGCCAAAGCACAAAGGCAAATAGCTCGATGACTTGATGTAATAGTGTAATAGTGTAGTGATTCCATGTATCAGGAATGAATATTTAGTTTCAGTTTTGCATTGAAGAGATTCATGATGGTTCAAAGGAATGCTTTGAATTTAGCCGTTTTCACAATGCAGACAATGTTCTAGGAGCTGCTCAGAATGATCATTATCTGATTGCACCAAGAATTTGAACCTAAGCAGTAATAAAATAAAATTTCTATGTACAATGACTCTTGGGCTGATAGAATGTCAACCTTCTATATATCCATGAATCCATGGACAGAGTAATGTACTTTGAAATAATGATTGACTGATAATTTTAATATTTGCAGAAAAGTACACCATATTACACGTGTTCATTTCAGTTTTGGAACTACAGTGAATTGATAGTCCTGAAAAAATTATTTCCAACTATGCACTGAGCTTTCAGATTACATTCCATAGCTGTAAAGTTTCTAAAGTATGAATTGCCTACAATACAAAACCACTCTGGTGCTTATAAATGGATTTAAATTCTAGACAAAGAAATGGGACGTACCTGCGGAACTGACCCAGCAAAGCAGCAGGAGAATCAGCAGAGTCCTCATGTTTCGTAGTAGGTGCTGCTCACACTCAGAGTGACTCCCTGTCAGACACAAGGTGACTTATTCCTATGAAAAAGACCAACCTTCCAAACTGCTGTTGTTACCTGTGGTCTAAATGGGCTTGGAAGGACGTCTGGACCTCAACAGAACCTAGAAGTTCCTGAGGTGGAAAAATGACAGAGGCAGTCTAGGAGACAGTAGGAAGGAAATGTGTCATTGGCTGCACCAAATCTTATCACGGCATTACAAGCTCTCAGGTCATAGGACGTGCACCATCTATGTGACAATGCTTGACTTTTATACTCTCAGACAATCCTTTCCTCTGCACCCACAGTCAAGGCAGGTTCCTCTTTCAGACTTAGAAACTTGCCGAAATCAGCACATTTCCTCCCTTTTCATTGTGTTTTAATAATCAAGCATAGAAACATTAAACCTCAGTAAGGAAACCACATCCATTTCCATCTTTCAGACTTAGAAACTTGCCGAAATCAGCTCTACAGTTTCCTACTCTACACAGCGAAGCATGCAGCTCTGCTCAGACAGTGTTCTTTGTGATTTTCCACTACATCTCCTCCCTTTTTATCATGTTTTAATAATGAAGCATAGAAGCATTAAACCTGAGTAAGGGAATCACATTCATTACTGTCTTCCATTAGGTTTGAACAGAAACATCATTAGTGTAGGATCACACACACATACGTCAGGACTAAGATTCCAAGTTTTATGGCCCGGAGGTCTGGAAGCCCTGAGATAAGGTCCAGTCTGGTACAGCAGGTCCTTGATGGCCTAGGCACAAAGGGGGGTTAGTGACTCCAACATACACACACACACACACACACACACACACAGAGGTTTGTAATTACAGTATATCTTTGTGGGGACTATCCTGTTTTTCCTGTTTCTTTCACAGCTGGCATGATTACTCGATTAAACTTGATCACTAAAAAGCATCTCTAAAAATTTTCCAACTCGATTATGGTGGAAGGAACACGCTCGTACCATATGAGGGACCAAATAATTAACTTCACATTAAAAGTGAATGAATAATACATCAGTTGAATATAGATGGTGACCCAGCTACTATAATATCTTTGAATGCATCAAAAGCGTTTGATACGGTCGAGTGGAGGTTTTTGTTTCAAATATTGGACAAATTCAATTTGGGCTCTAACTTTATTAGATTAGTCAAACTTTTTTATTCTGATTCAACAGCTGTGGTTAACACTAATAGTTTATTATCAGGTAAATTTTCAATTCATAGAGGCTGCCGTTAGGGATGCCCCCTGTCGCCGCTCCTGTTTGCCTTGTTTATTGAACCCTTGGCAGAAAGTATTCGCATGCATGGGGGCGTCCGGGGCGTGGAGGCAAGCGGGACGGAACACCGCATATCATTATATGCAGATGATGTCCTTCTTTACCTGAGGCACCCACAATTATCAATTCCACAGGTGTTGGAGATAATTAACCAGTATAGCCAGTATAGTGGATACAAAATAAACTTGGGGAAATCCCAAGCCATGTTTTTAAATGCCCCACAGAATGTTAAATTACAGTGTCCATTTCACATTACTGACTCTGGGTTTCTTTATTAGGGCATATACATAACCCCAGACTTAAAGGATTTGTTCTCCAAGAACTATTCACCTTTAATGACAAAACTTAAGCAGGATATGAATAGGTGGACTTCTTTGCCAATTTCTTTTTTTGGAAGAATTAATACAATTAAAATGAATGTGCTTCCCCGTTTACTTTATTTATTTCAGTGTATATTGATACCTGTTATTTGAATTCTAACTTTTTCAAGGGTCTGAATACAGCCATCAGTAAGTTTATATGGAATAATAAAAAACCCAGGATTAAATTTACTTCTCTCCTCAAACCAAGGGAGTGTGGAGGTGGATCTTTGCCCAACATACAGCTTTACTACTGGGCTGCTCAGATCAAACAAATGCTTAGATGGTTTTCAAATGATACAGGCTCTTTGTGGGTCATGATGGAATCCTTTGCATGTGCCCCTAGAACATTAACATCTCTTCCATTTATTAATAATTTTAAGAAGATTCGGTCAGTAGTTGAACATTTTTTGTTATTAAATACTCTCTTGGCTTGGGAAGATGTCAAAAAATATCTCCACCTCCCCAGGAATTTAACTATGCAATCCTCAATCATTTTGAATCCCTACTTTCCTGCTTCCTTAGCTAATATTGGCCTTCGGTCTTGGGTGGAGAAAGGTGTTTTTAATTTAGCCAATTTATTTACAGATAATGTTGTCAAATCTTTAGAGACACTTAGAATGGATTATAAACTTCCTAGAACAGAATTTTTCAAATTTCTCCAGCTACGTCATTTTATTCATTCTGAAATGAGACAGGGCAAAATCCGCTTTGAATCGTCTGATATTGAAAATCATCTCCTTCTTCCAGGGGCATTGAAGGGTCAGATTTCTTATGTGTATGGCTCCCTTTTATCAGAAACCTTCTTCACCTTTGAATCCTTTAAGAACGGTTTGGGAAAAGGATATGGGCCGATCATTTACTGATGATGAATGGCTCTCTATATGTGAGGAGGTTTTTCATAAATCAACCTCAGTTTCTGTACATGAGCAAAACTTGAAATTCATATATAGAACATATCTCACCCCTGTATGCCTCCACAAAATGTACCCAAATGTATCTCAGTTGTGTTTTAAATGTAATTCAAAACATTGAAGACATGGAACATTGATGCATCTATTCTGGGAGTGTAAGAAAATTAAAATTTTTTGGTATGAAGTGCATGATCTGGTTGAGAAAATACTGGCTAGAAAATTTATGATGTCTCCAATTATATACCTGTTAAATTGTAAAATATCACTAGATCTTCCTTCTGATTTAAATTGTTTACTAAATTTCATTACTTATCTGGCAAAGAAATGCATACTTATCTTATGGTCATCATCTTGTGTACCAACTTTAAAGATGTGTTTGGCACAAGTGGGTAATCTTCTCCCATTGGAAAAACTTACATACGACTTACAGAATAAATCTGAGCTATTCTGGCGGATATGGGCCCCTTTGTGGGATCTACTTCAGCAATCATGACTCTTTCTTTCTTTTATGCTTTCTTTTACTGAACTGTTTTGCCCTTGGGTGTCTCCATGTTCACTCATATTAATAGATTACTGTTTGTTTTTAAATGATCGCTGTAGGTGTCGACTGTATATCGATTTGGCTCTGTTTTTTTCTTTTTTTTTTTTTCCTTGTTGTTAAATAAAAAAAAATAATTAAAAAAAATAATAAAAAATTGAATGAAAATGCAGTCGACTGTAAGTATTGCAAAGCCAAACTTAAATATCACCACAGAACAACTGCAATGCAAATACAGTATATCTTAAAAGAAGACATTTAGGAAACTTGTAAAAAATCACCTGTGATACAACCATGACAGATGTCTGTCTGAGGAATCTATCTGTTCTCAGCAATGAGGCCCCGCGGGCAAAAGCACCTTATATGGATGTTTGTCAAATGTTCTGCTGCTATCACAACAACCATCACCTTCAGCTGTCGAAAAAAATGCGGTGAGACACGACCACATGGGTAGCGAGAGCTGCAGAGT